AGTCAGGACCCTGATTGAGGGTAGCCCCACTGACCTGGAACACATGGCCGCCAGGGAAGAGAGCATAGAACTTAGTTACGTTCCCAGCTCTTGGTCAGAACTAGTCATAAAGCCCCAAACTAACTTCAGGAGCGGCTAAGCAGTGCAGGGGTATGTGGGGGGTACCTGTTCATGGCCTGCCTGTGCTGTGGAATCGCTACCCCTGAGACCCTCCCCTGGGGGAGGCATCACCTATTATATACTGTGTACCATTCTGCCTCTCTAAGTCTAGAAAATACATTCCGAAACACTTTTGGCCCCAGGGGTTTTGGCTAAAGGCTAATGGGACCCGTGTTATCATTTATTGAGCACTTACTATGTGCCAGGCACCATTCTCCTATCTTTACCTATTTTACTTAATTCTTCTGATAACTCCATAAGATAAATATTCTTCCTATTTGCACTTTACAGATGAGGAAACTGAGTCACAGATAGGTTAGTCAAATTCAAGATCATAGAGCTAGGAGGTTGTAGGGCCAGGGTTTCAAGCTAGATGGTTTGACTCTGGTGTCACATTCCTAACAACGACTAATCTGCCTCAAATACATGGCAGACAGGAAATTTTGCTTGAGAGATTGGGGTTGGTCATAGAGATTTGGAAATTTTCTATTTACAAGTTGCCTATTTTTTTTATTTTTTATTATTAAAAATTTTTTAAGTTTATTTATTTTGAGAGAGTGGGGGAGGGAGGGAGCATGTGTGCTCCAGCGAGAGCAGAAGAGGGGCAAAGAGAGAGGAGACAGAAGCCCAAGCAGGCTCAGCGCTGTTGGCACAGAGCTCTAAGCAGGGCTCGATCTCAACGAATCGTGAGATCATGACCTGAACCTCGCAAGATCAAGAGTCAGACACTTAACTGACAGACACTCAGGTGCCCCTCAAGTTGCCCATTTTTTATTCTTACTGAAGAGAGGATATGAGGAAAGCAGGAGAGATCCAGAGGCCACAAGTCCGAACATCAACATGTGGGGGAGGGGTGGGAGAAGGCATGAGGAAGAGGAACTAGCAAAGAAGCAGAAGTGGTTAGAGTGGTGGCAGGTTCCCTGGGCTGGGATAGAGTCACAGAATGCAGGGGAGGAGAGAACCTCATGAAAGAGAACTTGACCACCAGTGTGAAATGTCTCAGGCAAGGAAAATGGTTGGCAGGAGGAATTGAATATGGTTATCTTTATCTGAACTCTCCTAATCCATGGCTTATTCTGGTCAGCGTGACAGGGAGAACTTGGATTTAGGAACTTGGCAGATGTGGGCACACCATGTGGTACATGCCAGCATCCTGCCCTGGAAAGGCTGTCACCACATCAGAGAAGGGGTTCAGAGTGCTAAACATCTTTGTTTACACTGCTTACTAATCACAGGCTTGGTTGGTCGTGAGCAGGAGTGATTTGTGGTTTAAGGCAAAAGTTTAATTCCCTTTCTAACTGAATTCACATCGAATAGTGCTTGGATTATGACTATCACGAAATAAATTCTGTTCCTTCAGTCCCACAAAGGGACAGAGGGGATTCCTTAGTGAGTACATCAAAGTATAATGTCCCAGTTTAAGAATAAGAGCTATTGCTATATGTTTTTTATTGCTATCAAAATGAGGTAAAAAGCAACAAAAGAATACAATTTTATTTTAAATCAACAGAGAGAAATAAACCCTAAGGGACTTTAGTCAACACATCAATATTGGTTAAATAATTGTAATAAAAACAATATGTACCATACTAATGCATGATATTAATAGTAGGTGAAACTCTTTGGTGGGAGGAAGGGTATGTGGGATCTATCTGCTCAATTTTTCTGAAACTCTAAAGCTGTTCTAAAAATAGATTCTGTTAATAAAAATACTAATAATGCGAGCTACACCAAGGCATGCTGGGCTGTGAGCAGCAGGAGGTGAAAGACTCTGGTGACCTGCCTGCAGGGGCAGGCAGGGTTTCAGATATGGTGAGCGCTTGGGTACTCCCAAGCCAGCTGTGGGACTAGAGAGTGGAGGAAGCTGGAGGTGGCACATCCGTGCGCAGCAGCACGTCTAGGCGCTGTGCTGTGGAGGGCCCTTGCCGTGCTAACAGCTTAGCATTTCAGGGAAGGAGAAAAAGAAGACAGACAACTGTTCTCACCTGTGTAAACCTTAAATCCACACAGTAACTTTCTCTGCAGCACTGCCCCACCTTTCTGCTTGCACATTCCTGCACCTGCATGCGCGCACACACACGCTCACACCCACCTAGAGTGCAGACCAGATGGGACACAGTGCCTTCTCCTCCATCCCCATCTACTCACAACCCCAGCCAAAGCATCCACTACTGGTTCCCCAGGCGCCACAGCGTGCTGCATGGTTGGTACCTCAGTCTCCTGGTTCTGGCTCCACTGGTACTCCCATCTCCTCCAAGAGTTCCAAAAATAAGGTCCCACTGAAGCTCTGCATCTGTGAGTAAAATAAACCTCCTTTGCCTGTGTGACACTTGCATTGTAGCAAAGCATGGTGACCTTGAAGGAAATTATTTAGCTTCCTTGTAACTCAGTTTCTCCTGTAAAATAGGGAAAATAATAGTATTTGTTGTGAGGATTTGCTTAATTGATACATGTAACTGCCTTAGAACAAGGCTTAGTACATAGTAAATGTTCAGTAAATGTTAGCTACTGTCATACTATTAATGGATGAAGTGGTCCATATGTTACATTAAAGAATAAGAGGGCAAGATTAAAGCTGTGTTTTGAAGAGTTGTCACATTACAGGTCAGCAGAGTGGGAGCTTTGCCATCTACTGTTTAGTATATGAACTTTTCAGGGACATGAAACTCTTTGAGCCCCAATTCCACCTTGTCTTTAAAATTATGGGATAGAAGAAGGTATTCATAGATTTTGATTCAGTGGTTCTCGAGCTGTGGTCTAGAGATCCCTAGGAAGTTCCCAAGAACTTTTCATGGGGTCCATGAGATCAAAACTATTTTCCTATTAATACTAAAATGTTACTTGCCCTTTTTACCCTCATTCTCTTAATGTACAGTAGACTTTTCCAGCAGCTGCATGATATGTGTTATCACAACAGATTAAAAGCAGAAGCTGACATGAGAATCCAGCTGTGTTCTATTAAGCCATGCATTGAAGAGATTTGTATTCTCTCATTAAACTCTAAAAATACAGTTCTTTTTTATAATAGTGTGTTTATGTTACCTTGTAATATTTTTAAATTGTTTTAAAATGAACAAAATAAGTTTTCTGTTTTAATTTCTAATATGGCAACTATCAGTAGATACAATCTATGTAAATAAAAGCTCTTTGGGGTCCTTAGCCTTTAAAAAAATTTTTTTTAAACATTTCATTTTATTTTTTGAGAGACAGAGACAGAGTATGAGTGGGGTGGGGGGAGTGCAGAGAGAGAGGGAGACACAGAATCCGAAGCATGCTTCATGCTCTGAGCTGTCAGCACAGAGCCTGATGTAGGGCTTGAACCCACAGATGCAAGATTGTGACCTGAGACGAAGTTGGATATTCAACCTATTACGCCACTCAGGCACTCCCTCAGCCTTTAAAAAAAAAAGTTTATTTGTTTTTGAGAAAGAGAAAAAAAACACAAGTAGGGGAGGGGCAGAGAGAGGGGGAAAGAGAATCCCAAGCAGGCTCCACACTGTCAGTGCAGAGTCTGACGAAGGGCTCAATCTCAAACTGCAAGATCATAACCTGAGCTGAAACCAGGAGTCAGAGCCTTAACCAAGTGAGCTACCCAGGTGCCCCGTCCTCAGTCATTTTTAGGATGTAAATTATAACCACCAGTCCAGTTTAGAAAGAGATTTCTAGCTTTCTCATCTCTTGGGAAAAGGAAGTTCTTTATGTACCCACCCCATCCTTCACATTCTGTCTTGTTTCTGTCAACTTCTCTGCTCTGTGTTTCTCATCTAAAGATACTCTGAAACTTTGGTCTTTCTTCCAAGCCACAGTCTATTAATTTCTCTTTCTCAGTATACTTTTCACTCACTGTGCCCTCTTTCTCTCCTCCATCTCTATTATTTGTTGGTTTCCTGACAGGCTTAGTTTTATTTTTTCTGTATACCTGTTCTTTTCTTCTGTAATATCTCTTCCCTTTTCCCATTTTAAACTCGCTTACCCTTTACAATATCTCTTCTCCTTGATTTGTTTCTTACCATTCTAATGCTTCTACTTCCTCCTATTTCTGATATTTACACTCAATTCTGTTCTTCACCCAGTTAATCCAGTTAATAAATATTAAGCACAAATAGTATATACCATTCCCTTTGCTTATCACTGGTGGTACAGAAGCAAGATAGACATGGTCCATGCCCTCCTGCAGCTATAGGCTACCTATGATAGTCATTTAAGACAAACTGGGAACAATTCTAAGGTAACTTGTCCAGGGTCCCACTTGACCTCACTGGAGGTAGTCTTAAAAGGGTCATGGAAATCCACTATAGCAGCAGCAACCACGTATCTACTATGTTTCAGGTATCTTATTTACATTATGTTGTTCAGTTCTCATAGCTCTGCAAATTGGCTATGTTTAGCCTCACTGTACACATGGAAAACTAGGATTCATAGAGCATAAGTAACTTGCTTGTGGACTCATAGCTAGGAAGTATCCATCCCAAGATTTCTCTTTGTGTTCCGCCACATCAGCCAAGAAGGAAAGGTGTCCTGGCCAGGAGGTGATATGTTGGGAGAAACTCTAGAGCCAGTTGTGGAAATAGAATGTATGAACTTAGAAGTGACATGTCAGCATAGCAGCTGAGCTGGGCAGCCACTTAGGGATCTTGTCCTAAGAGGTTTGTTGCCCCTGAGGTTAAGATTCAAAGGCTACAAGTCACCGGAAAGGAATGCGTATGAAGTAGAGACGCCGGAGCAGGAACCATCGGGGATGTTTGCCTAAGGTTGCTAAAGGACTACCTGAAGCTTCCCTGGGAATGGCAGGATGACACATGCCAGAGAACCCGCTAACCTGTCTATCATTCCTTTGACAGAGTGACGTCAGAATCAAGTTTGAGCACAACGGGGAGAGACGGTAAGTCTGCCTTCTGATCAGTGTTTGTGTTCATGTGTGCTGCAGTTCTCAGCATCAAGCTTGTGGAAGCTCTTTCCCTGGAGTGATCCCTGTGGGCTCACTGACTAGGTGATGGGGTTGATTTGTCATAAAAGGGCAGTTTTCACCTTTGGCTTGGCTTACCAACTGAATTTTACTTTTGGTCTTAGAACTGGAAGCCATTTCAACTGTTGATGCTTTACTTTTTTGTTCTTATTCTACACCTGAGGGGTCCACCATTTTGCTATGAGAGGAAGTCAGGGCTCCAGCTCTGCTGAGTTACGACTTCCAGATACACTGACACTGTGCCACCTGTGAGCATCAGAAGGAGATCAGGGGGCACCTGGGTGGCTCAGTCAGTTAAGCGTCTGACTGTTGATTTCCATTCAGGTCATGATCCTAGGGTTGTGGGATTGAGCCCCATGTCAGGCTCTATACTAAGCGTGGAGCCTGCTTAAGATTCTCTTTCCCTCTGCCCCTCTCCTCTGCTCTCTCTCACTCTCTCAAAAAATAAAAAAATTAGTTTAAAGAAGATCAAGATTCTCCTGTGATGTGGTGCTATTCCCAGCCCAGTAGAGTGGCCCTGGCCCCTGGCTTTGTCCACATCAGGGCCAGGTTAGTGACTTGGAAATTTCTTTATAATGTGTTGGGGTCATGGGAAGCTACATAAAGTTTCTCAGTTGTGAAAGATTTCAGATCATTTGAGGACATAGAAGGAGGGAGTTTTTCAGTCTAAATTCAGTATCTTACCTTGTTAGGGAAGTGAAAGTAATGTTGTGAAACCCTGTTGTCCTTTTCTCCATTGTTAGTATTTAGTGTTTTGTAGGAAGTCAAGATAGAAGTTTTCAGTGGAGAAAAATAGGACTCCACTTAATTTCTAAAGTTATTTAAGGAAAAACTTATTTTTTTTTAAATTCAACATGGGGCTTGAGCTCACACCCCAAGATCAAGAGTCACATGTTCCAACTCAGCCAGCCAGGCCCCCATTAAGGAAGAACTTTTAAATGTTTATTTTGAGAGAGAGAGAGAGAGACTGAGTGAGCAGGGAATGGGCAGAGAGAGAGAGAGAGAGAGAGACTGAGACAGAGCATCCCAGGCAGGCTCCACACGATCAGTGCTGAGCCCAATGTGGGGCTTGATCTCACAACTGTGAATTCATGACCTGAGCTGAAATCAAGAGTTGGATGCTTAACAGACTAAGCCACCCAGATGCACCTTAAGGAATAACTTAAAAAGCATACAGAACTCTGGTAACGGGATAATTGGGACACCGTGTGTGCATGTATGTGGTGTATATGTGCCTAAGTGTGCTTTTCAGTATATTTCCTGCTGTGCCATTCTCTCCCAATGATTGATACCCCTCATTTGCCTTTGCTTTGAGCATTTGGGAATGTGAAGAGCATACCCATAAGAATAAGCTCCTCCTACATTAGGTCCACCATAGGACCTTAGTGCCTCCAAACATTGTTAGCACAAGTCCAGATATATAGCTGCTGTTCTCCCTGAAAAAGATATATTCACAAGCCTGCAAGGTTGTCAGAGGTTGCCTGGTGGAAACACTGTGGTCTGGGGAGCCAGAGCCCTGCTGCTGTGTGTGTTCTGGGGCTGTTTCAGGCCTGGGAGGAGGGAAGTCTTCTGAGTTCTGTTCCCAGCTACTCATTCTGTGTCCTGCCAGTAGCAGAGAAGTTAAATTGTCACTTCATTGTTGCTGTTTTTCACACTTCTGACATGACTGGGTTTTGGAGGGATTGCCAAACTCAGACTGGCAGAGACTTTTCAGAAGTAGATACAAAATCAAAAGCTCAATTGTGTTGGAGCCTAATTATGCAGTTACGCTCTCCCGAATTCCTGTTCCCAAAGTGGTATGTAGTTACAGCGAGCAGACTTACACTGAGAAAGTATATGTGTTTAGTTACAGAGAAGCTGCCAGATCGAAACCACAAATATTTAAGGTGGTCGGGCAGGAATGGCCTTTCAAAGCCTGAGCAGCAGAGTGTTCGTATCAAGATTTTGAAAACTGTGCATTCTCTTTTTATAGGGCTGTTTTCAGGAGCCATGGCATTTCACTGTTTGTGTACTACGTGTGGAATTGAGGACTTTTAAAGTTGGTGCAGGGAAGCCAAGTTCAAGCTGCACAATGCCAGACAGCTCTGGTTTCGTGTGTTTCATGTGTTAGGATTTTGTAAAGAATATGATTGTGGGCTTTCTCTACTTTTTGCAGGGAATCTGGGTGGTATATATCTAAATGTTGTAGGCCCTTGTAGAATTAGAATGTACGGAAAAGGGGAAAGAAATAGTAACTTCTTTCATTCACCTCTGCTAGGTATCCATTCTGTTTCCCTTTGCTTTGGAAGGCTAGGGATCAGGCTCCTAACGCTTTTACTTTTTAGCCCCAGGAGGGCAGAAGAGGACTGTAGATTCAAACTCCTTCCCTTTGAAAGTTTCCCTGTATGGACACTGGTGGGCGTGGTTGTCAGAGGTGTTAGTCCCCTCTTTGAAGCATTGACTAAAAAGGGCTGTTATTCAGTGTAATGGCAGCAGCTTCGATCTTACCAACCTTGATAAGCCCTGGTTTCTGATCTTGACTTTGGGGCTACTTTGGGGATTTTTTTTTTTTTTTTTGAGAGAGAGAGACAGCATGAACAGGGGAGGGTCAGAGAGAGAGAGGGAGACACAGAATCCGAAGACAGGCTCCAGGCTCTGAGCTAGCTGTGAGCACAGAGCCCGATGCGGGGCTCGAACCCACGAACCATGAGATCATGATCTGAGCTGAAGTCAGACACTTAACCAACTGAGCCACCCAGGTGCCCCTACTTTGGGGATTTTGAATGGCTCATTGCCAGGCCAAATGCAGGAGAATTTATCTGAGCCTGATTTTCTAACACTGTGCTAGGGACATCCGAATGGTCTCCTGGCATTTTATTCAGAAAGACTGGCCCCTGTTGCTAAGATCCTGATGAAAGGGTATGATTTGCTATTAGGAATTAATGGAAAGCCATTCTCTCAAGACTCCAGAAAATGCCCATATCTGTGTAACCCATATCTAGATAGCATCACACAGTATTATTCCTTGGAACAGTATGTTTGAAGGAAAAGAAATTTGAATTTAACCAGCCACATGTGGCTAGTGGCTACCACATTGAATATTACAGTTCTATTTTTTTTAAATGTTTTATTTATTTCTGAGAGCGAGAGACAGCATGAGCAGGGGAGAGTCAGAGAGAGAGGGAGACACAGAATCCAAAGCAGCCTCCAGGCTCTGAGCTGGCTGTCAGCACAGAGCCCCATGTGGGGCTCAAACCCACGAACCGTGAAATCATGACCTGAGCCGAAGTCAGACGCTTAACCGACTGAGCCACCCAGGCACCCCTGAATATTAGTTTTAGATGATGGAAGCTTTTATGCTGCCCACTTATTTGTGCCAGCCTGGCACAGAAGAATATTAAAGAAAATATCTGGTCAGATTCCATTAACATTCAGTAACTTAGATCCCTCTGCCCTGTGGCTTATTGCTTCTTTCTCTGATTATACCACTTCCCATCTAGGGGAGCAAAGACGTAAAAGAACCATACACTTCTCAGCCTGAGGAGGCAAGAACTGTAGAGGCTCTGTGGCTGAGTACTGCTACTCTACCAAGCACTAGTCAGATTTCGTCCAGTCTAGGCTACTAAGAGATGAAGGTGGTTCTGATGTGTATTTCCCCCCATCACATTAAGCATAAATTTGTGTGTTTATTAGTCATTCATAACTCTTTGAATTGTGTCATCATATCCTTGTCTATGTTTTTGGGGGGTTGTTTGTCTTTTTCTTACTGATTTTGCAAGGATTTTTTTCCCCTAGTTTGATATTTGTTTTTTAACTTTGTTGATGGCTCATTTTGCTCTCAGAAGTTTAAATTTAAAAAAATTTTTAATGTTTATTTTTGAGAGAGAGAGAGAGAGAGAGACTGACCGTGAGGGAAGGGCAGAGAGAGAGAGAGAGAGAGAGACTGACCGTGAGTGAGGGAAGGGCAGAGAGAGAGAGAGAGAGAGAGAGACTGACCGTGAGTAAGGGAAGGGCAGACAGAGAGAGAGGGAGACAGAAACGGAAGCAGGCTTCAGGCTCCATGCTGTTAGCACAGCCCCATGCGGGGCTTGAACTCATGAACTGTGATATCATGATCTGAGCTGAAGTCGGACAGTTAACCAACTGAGCCACCCAGGTGCCCCTAGAAGTTTAAATTTTTGTTGTTAAATCTGTCTTCTTCCTCCTCGTCTTCAGTATTTTATGTAATGCTTAGGAAGACCTTCTCCACTCCACTATTTTTTAATCCTATGCTTTCATCTGTATATATATAGGATATATGTATGAGTTACTTTCTGATATTCTCTTGTTTTCACTTATCTCATTGCTTGCTTATTTCTTTATGGTTTTTTTTTTCCTATGAGAGAGATTGAGAGAGACAGTGTGAGCAGGGGAGGGTTAGAGAGAGAGACACAGAATCTGAACCAGGCTCCAGGCTCTGAGCTAGCCGTCAGCACAGAGCCTGATGCGGGGCTCGAACCCACGAACTGTGAAATCATGACCTGAGCCAAAGTCGGACGCTTAGCCAACTGAGCCACCCAAGCACCCCTCTCATTGCTTATTTTTATCTTAAGTATTTAAGTTGTAGTGTATTGGGTTGGACCCATATGGCAGCTTTTGTACATCAGAAATTGACTACCAACAATATCATATGGTTCAACCTAATATAGTCATTAAAACTTTTATTATGAAATTTCAAACACACACAAAGGTAGAGACTGAACCCTTCTGGACCTGTAACCCAGCTTCGATTATTATCAACATTTTGCCAATTTTTTGTATATTTTATTCATTTTGTATGTTTCATCTGACCCCACCTTTAAATTTTGCTGTGACTTTTAGTTAACAGATCATTTTAACACATCTGTGAACAAGTTCTTACCCTACTCTGTTTTTATAGAAATTGTGTTTTGAACTGACCTAATGAGTCTCTCTAGAAAAGTGTCAATATCAATACTTCTTACATAATCACATGTGTCAGTAGTTAAGAAAACTTAGGCATGTAACCAGCTCAAGGGGAATTCCTTTGACTCTTAGGTAGGAAATCTCAATTTTGAGGATAATCAGCATTGAGATTCCTCTGGCATCAGTGATGGAGAAGACCTTTCAAGTCCTGGAGTTGAGTCATTTGGGAGTTAAGACCATGTTTTCAGGACTACTGCTACAGTCTCCAGTTTTTCTTCCTAAAGAGAGTATTTGGAACCTAATTTTAAAATCTAGGTGTCTTGCTTTTTTTCTTTTAAGTTTATTCATTTATTTTTGAAAGATAGACAGTACAAACATGGGAGGGGCAAAGAGAGAGGGACAGAGGATCCAAAGTGGGCTCTGTGCTGACAGCGGAAGCCTGATGTGGGGCTTGAACTCACAAACTGAGATCATGACCTGAGACAGAGTTGGAGGCTTAACTGACTGAGCCACCCAGGCATCCCAGGTCTCCTGCTTTGTACTGAACTGTCATTGACAGAAAGATTTGAGCTGAAATGGTAGAACAATGGTTGGGATTGAGCCACAATGTTTGTGATACTCAGAGGAAAGGTGAAAAAAGTAAGGTAGATAAAAGAAGAAAAGAAAAAATAGAAAGTCAAACTGTATGAAGGAGAAAAAGAGAATCCTATGTTTAAAAGAACGGGAAGATATTCAGAAGTCCTAGCTTTCTAAATCTGACTTTTAAAATACGCAGTTAACCATGCTTCCTGTTCCTTTTCAGAATTATAGCATTCAGCCGGCCTGTTAGATACGAAGATGTGGAACACAAGGTGACAACAGTGTTTGGGCAGCCTCTTGATCTTCATTACATGAACAATGAGGTAAGAAAGTAGATGGATGGTATGGAGACAAGATGGGGTGACAGCTAACTACCTTTTACTTTTTGCTTAATTGAGGATATTTTAGTTTGCTCCTGTAATATCATCTGCAAGTTTTCCTTTTCTGGAGCCTCTTTTCTTAATTCCAGTAATTCTGGGATTTCTGGTTTTTGCTACATGGGGTATTCCATAGCTACTTCCATTCCACCTGCGCAGTCAGTGCTGGTAGCTCTAATACGCCATGGTGGAAACAGGTAAGGTACCAGGGCCAGGATATATATTGTCTCCATTATGTTTTATAGTTTACCTTAACAAGAAGCAGAGGTTTAGGAGGGGTTGGAAAGATGTGGAAAACTCGTGGGTAGTTCCTCTATTGATAGTCATAAATGCTGGACTCTTCTCTCAAAGTTTAACTTCCAAGTGTAGTTTATTTCCAAAGTTAGCACCTACTCAGATGATTTCTTTAGCTCTTCCTCCTCCTGCCCCTGCCCTTCCTTCCAGTCCTTATTTTTTCATACTTTAAATATTACCCAAGAAGGGATTCTTTTGAGTGTCAGTTACTTGGCTGCTTTCCCAGCTTTAAGAAAGGTACTAGAAGCTACAGTCTGCTTGAGCCAATGCCTTGCATTAGTCTGAGAGGCAGTGTGTTGGTGCTTAGTAGAGTCTGCATCTTGAGGGAATTGAGTTGGGGGACAAGACAAGAAAGCTGGGCAACATCCTGGTCCTTGAGAATCGGGTCCTTACTGTGTAGTTTTGTTTTATTGGTTGAAGAGTTAAGAATCTCCTCCATAAAGCAATTCTGGTGTCTGTCTATCCATCAGTAGATGAATGGATAAAGAAGATATGGTGTATGTATCCAGTGGAATATTACTCAGTCATAAAAAATGAGATCTTGCCATTTGCAACAACATGGATAGACCTAGAGAGTATTATGCTAAGTGAAATAAGTGAGACAGAGAAAGACAAATATCATATGATTTCGTTTATATGTAGAAACTAAAACACAAAATGAATGAATAAACCCATAAATACAGAGAATAAACTGATGGTTATCAGAGGGGAGGGGTAGGCAAAACAGGTAAAGGGGGTGGGAGATACAAGCCTCCAGTTATGGAATGAGAAGTCACAGGGATAAAAGGTACAGCATGGGGAATATAATGTAGTAGTGTTATATGGTGACAGATGGTAGCTACACTTGTGGTGAGCACAGCATAACATATAGGCTTGTTGAATCACTGTGTTGTACACCTGAAACTAACGTTATGTTATGTGTCAACTATAAAAAAAAAACAAAAAACCTTCAGCTGGAGAAAAAAGAAATTTCTTCCATAGTTTGGGGCTGAATCTATAGCAGCTGAGTTTTGTTGGCTAAAATTCCCTGGTCCCCTTTTTATATAATGTACAACCATAATTACGTGTATTTATTGCCCAATAGCTAACAAAAATAAGAGTGTCTGATATTTTGTTTTTTGGGACAAATTTTAGAAACACAGCAAATTTGGAAAATAAACCACTAGCTCTATAGTTAATAAGTAATGCAGATGAACTTTTAAAGATTGCAGCTCAAGGTTCTGTCACTGCATAGGAAAGCGAGGCTAGAGTCCGCCAGCTAATCAGGATTAAAGAAGGTGTTCTTTAGTTAGGAAAGACTTTTCTGAATGATTTAGTGCTCATTTCTCTTTCCGTTACGAATTCTTAATGTTGTGGCTCCTGGGTGGCTCAGTCAGTTAAGCGTCCGACTTCGGCTCAGGTCATGATCTCATGGTTCGTGGGTTCGAGCCCCGTGTCTGACTCTGTGCTGACAGCGAGCTCAGAGCCTGCAGCCTGTTTCAGATTCTGTATCTCCCTCTCTCTCTGACCCTCCCCTGTTCATGCTGTCTCTCGCTCTGTAAGAAATAAATAAAAATATTAAAAAAACAAAATTTTTAAAAAAAATTCTGCATGTCTCAAAATCCATTTTCAAATTCTTTTGCCAATAAAGTGACTTCCCAGAATGTTAGTCATTCCTTTATTCAAATATTTATGCAGCTGTTAATTCTAAAGCCAAACATAATTACTAGTTATTATTTTAGATGATGCATGTCTGTCCATGTTCTGCTAATGTCAATGACCAAGAATTGACTAGTTTACATTTTATTAATTTAAAATCCCTCAACCTCTTTTTCTTTTCTTTGCCCTCTAAACCTTGCCATGTCAGGATTTGAGAACCACATGTGAAAAATCAGTTAGTATTTTATTTTATGTTTATTTTTTTGTAATAATAGCTTTATTGAGGTATAATGTACCTACCATAAAATTTACCCTTTTAAGTGGTACAATTTAGTGGTTTTTAGTATATTTACAGATTTGTATAACCAACACTACTATCTAATTCCAGATACCCCAAAGAAAAGGCCTGTACCCATTAGCAGTCACTTCCTCTTCCCTCCTCTTCCCAGCCCCTGGCAGGTGAACACAAACCTACTTTCTGTCTCTTTGGATTTGCCTGTTCTGAACATTTCATATACATGGAATCAACCAATATGTGGCCTTTTGTTTTTGGCTTCTTTCACTTAGCATAATGTTTTCAAGATAATAATATTCCCCAGTATGGATAAACCACATTTTGTGTATCCATCTGGATACTTGAATTGTTTTTACTTTTTGGCTATTATGAGTAGTGCTGCCATAAACATATGTGTACACATTTTCATTTGTACATATGTTTTCAGTTCTCTAGAGTATATACCTAGGAGTAGAACTGTTGTCTTATGGTAACTCTATGTTATCTTTTTGAGAAACTGTCCATCCTTCCCATATCTACTGTACCATTTTACACTTCTTACCAGCAGTGAAGGAAGGTTGTAATTTCTCTACATCCTCATCAGCGCGTGTTATTTTTTGGGTTTTTGTTTATCTGTTTGGTAAATTATAGCCAATCCTAGTAGGTGTGAAGTGGTATCTCATTGTGGTTTTGATTTGCATTTCCCTAATGACTAATGACATGGAGGATCTTTTCGGTGCTTATTGGCCATTGTCTATCTTCTTTGGGCAGTGTCTGTTCAAATCCTTTGTCCGTTAGAAGAATTGGATTCTTTGTCCTCTTACTGTTGAGTTGTAAGAGTTCTATGTATATTCTGAATACTAGACCCATACCATACATTTGTAGTTTGTACAAATTGTAGTTTGTTTGTTTAAGTTAAAGCCTACTCCAGTTATTTCTTTATCTCTCCTACACCCATAACCATTCTTATTTATTCCTACTTTGAATGTTACAGGAAGGAATTCTTTTATAATATGATATGATTTGCAAAATTTTCTCCCATTCCATAAGTTGTCTTGAAATTTTATTTTATTTTTTATTTATTTATTTTAAGTAATCTCTGCTTCCAACATGGGGCTCAAACTCACAACCCCAAGATCATGAGTTGCTTACTCTTTTGACTGAGTCAGCCAGGCGTCCCTTGAATTTTTATTTTATTTAATTATTTATTTATTTTTTACATATATTTATTATTGAGAAACAGAGAGAGAAAGAGCATGAGCATGGGAAGGGCAGAGAGAGGGGGAGACACAGAATCCAAAGCAGGCTCCAGACTCTGAGCTGTCAGCACAGAGTCTGATGTGGGGCTCAAACTCACAAACTGCGGGATCATGACCTGAGCCAAAGTTGGACACTTAACCAACTGAGCCACCCAGGCGCCCCGAAATTTTATTTTAAATACTGTTCTTGCTCTTTGTTTTTTCCTAGCCTACAATTTAGTGTTGTCTTCTCCTTTTATTATAAACTGGGCACTAAAGAAATAAATTGGACTTTTACTTGATTTTGTGTTTGCCACCAATGTGTGAGATCTGACATTTGCTGGGTCCTAGGCAAAGGATACTTTTACATCTTTCAGTACTAAGTACTCAGAATGTCATCTGCATTTAACAGCAAGTGAGACTTATCCATACCTTCAAGGGTGATGTCTTTAATACTTAAGGGAAATGAAAACAGGAGATTGTTTCTGAATTCTAGTCACTGATTTTTACCTTTAAACATTAAGATCTTAAACTCTCCTATGTGGCCTAAATTTGTGTTCTTATTTGAGTAACAGTTTTCATCTTCTGCATATCCCCCTTCTTCTATGCCTTTTCTGCTTGTTCTGTTAATGGCAGTACAGGCTAAGGTGAATATTTAATTTGGGAAGAAATAGGGTGCTTTAACTATTTAGGATTTGAGCTTTGGAGAAAAGAGTATTTTTAGAGAGGAAGCTCTTCGCAGGAAATATCTTGAAACAAACTACTGGTGTGTCGCACAGCATGGATGAACTCAGAAACGTTAAACAAAAGAAACTAGATACAAAAGCCTATGAACTGAATTGAACATGTATGAATTCTAGGATTCCATTTATATGAAATGTCCAAAAGAGGTCAATCTACAGAGGCAGAGAGTAGATTAGTTGTTGCTGGGGCTACAGGTGGGAAGAGGGAATGACTGTATATGGGCACAAGATCATTTGGAACAATGGAAATGTTTTAAAATTGAATTGTGATGATGGATGCACAAATTTGACTAAAAATTAATGAATTGTACACTGAAGTAAAGAAAAAGTATCTAGATGGTTTGAATTAATTTTTTGACCCCATCGTATCCAGTGAGATTGTTTTCCTTCAGACATTTTTTAAATTTTTGCTTATTTTTGTAAACTAAAGATATATATGATTCCCTTTTTCTGTGTCTGTGTCCCAGCTTTCCATCCTGCTGAAGAACCAAGATGATCTTGATAAAGCAATTGACATATTAGACAGAAGCTCCAGCATGAAGAGTCTTAGGATATTGCTGCTGTCACAGGACAGAAACCATGTAAGTAGCCCCTGTGATGGCCTGGCAGCTGGACAGAGGACAAAACTTGCTGTTTTTCAGGAGTTCACTTGGCTTCCCTTGACAGAATTTTGTATTCTTCAGCTGCTGCACATAAGTGCACATAAGCATATAAGTGCAGCCCAGCCCAGCCCACTGTGTCAATGGCCAGATCACATTTTGTATGTGATTTCACTGTGAAGTCAAATCACCCGTGTTAAAGTTGTAGCTAAAGATTACTTGGCTTGTGGCATGGAAGGAAGGAAAACATTTATGACTGAAGAGAAAATTCTTTTTCTCTATGTTATCTCCATTTGTTTTGGACCCCAACAAGAGAGATTTGATTATGGTGAAGATACTTAGCAAAGGCAGCCAGGGGATTGAGGATATCATGTAGACCTTCTCTCACAACCCCTCAGCAACCATGCCTGTCTCTGGAGACATAAGTAGGAAACAAGCTTTTCCTTCTTTTCAATGGGAGAAAGACCATCGGGTGGGGAGCCTCTTGTAACTTACCAGCTACTACCTTACCCAATGGCCGGCAATCTGCAGGGGCCGTCAGAAATGTGGGATCACTCCTTATTAACTTCTCTTAAAAGGTCCATAAGGGCCTACATTTCACAAGGATGATTGCAGTCTGTCTGTCTTCTAATCACTGATTCCTGTACCAGTTTTCTTTTCCTTTTTTTTTTTTTAATTTTTATTTTTTTAAATATTTATTCATTTTTTTTTTCTTTTAAATTTTATTATTTCTAGGAGAGAGAGAGAGAGAGACAGCGTGAGCAGGGGAGGGTCAGAGAGAGGGATTCACAGACTGAAACAGGCTCCAGGCTCTGAGCTGGCAGTCAGCACAGAGCCCGACGCAGGGCTCGAACCCACGAACCGCGAGATCATGACCTAAGCGAAAGTCGGACGCTTAACCGACTAAGCCACCCAGGCGCCCCTAAATATTTATTCATTTTTAAGAGACAGAGCACGAGGAGGGGAGGAGCAGAGGGATAGGGAGACACAGAATCTGAAGCAAGCTTCAGGCTCTGAGCTGAACCCAATGCGGGGCTCGAACTCACTGACCATGAGATCATGACCTTAGCTGAAGTCGGACGCTTAACTGACTGAGTGACCCAGACACTCCGTACCAGCTTTCTTGACGTGAATGTTCCTAAAGGTTTCTTGGCACTCTTTCCTTATGCTTGAAGACAGCCAGGTGCGAACAGCTGACACTGCTGCATGAACACACCATACCAGGACAGGGTTTAGGTGGAATGGTACTCATGCTGGCCATTTATTTTTAGAGACCTATTGAGATTGGGCTGTCCTACTGATTGGGGGAAAACACAAGAGAATGGAGTTAGGAGGACTTAGAATAAAGAAAATATTTTCTTTTCTTTTTTTTTTTTATGTTTATTTGTTTATTGGGGGAGGGGAGGGGCAGAGAGAGAGGTAAAGAGAGAATCCCAGTGAACCTCCACGCTCAGCACAGAGCCCAACATGGGGCCCAATCTCACGACTGAGATCATGACCTGAGCCAAAATCAAGAGTTGGACACTTAACTAAATGAGCCACCCAGGTTCCCCAAGAAGGCATTTTCTAATACTACAGAAGTGTCCTCATGATTGAGGATGGTCTTGTCTTCTCTTTTCTCTGGCTTTGTGTTGGGAAATATTCTGAAATGAAATACATACTTTATTATTTTATTTTTCTGTTCAAGTTACCTCCTCCTTATAGTCTTTCTTTATTTCTTTCATAGGATCCTATCATAGGATCTAAATTTAGTCTAGCATCCAGGGTTTATCACTGTCTACCCTTGTTTTCAACTCCCTAGTCTCATCTTTCCACATTCTTCAGCATATTCCCCCCTTTCTGCAGTTCTTCCTTTTTGCTCTTTGCCAAACTGTGACTGATTTTAGGACCTGGCTTGATTTACCTGCTACAATTTTGTCAGTGGTTTTGCCTGAGCTATGTTGGTTATTTCTGTTCTTTTAGTCATTGGATATAATTTGTATACTTGTTTATAGGTTGCTTAGTAATTGCCCTCTAGTTGTTGCATATTTGTAAGTTTTATCCCAAAAGATTATTAAGATCGTCAAGAACAGGAGCCGTGACTTACTGTTTTGGAACACCTTCTCCACCCATCCTTAAGAAAACACAGGGATTGCTTCTTGATTATTACCAAAGTCAAGCAGAGATCATATTCAGCAAAGCCCTTCTGTATATAAGAAGCTAGAATTGGGGTCTGGTTTAATAATGTGATTGCTTGACTGGGAGCTAGCACCTTTGACCATGATCTGTCCATTCCTATGATGAGAAGGTATAGACAACTGGTTTTTTACATCCACTTTCCCACCAATTAAGGGGTGCACATGGCTGCAGAGACTGCTGCAAACCCCCGAGCTGCCTGAAAGATGACCATCTGAGCTCTGATACCCAGGGCATTGCATTAGATGTATAAAATAAATGCCATATTGATGCCTCTCTTTCTTCTTCCTTCCTTTCTTTATTTTTTCTTTTTAATGGAACACTTCATGAATTTGCATGTCATCCTTACACATGCTAATCTTTGTATTGATCCAATTTTAACATGTGCTGCCAGAACAAGCACTGATGCCTCCCTTTCTAAGGACCTATATTTTAAAAAATTAGTATACAGTCAGCATATCTTTTTTATAAAGTTTAAAAAGGAGAGAACTATCCTGTCTAATCCTATCACTATAACACATTGATTGATATTTACATGTGCCCCTGTAGTTTTCGAACATATGTGTACCTATTTTAAATGTTGTCATGGTAGTCGTATAATTTTCTAAATTATTTTTTCATTTAACATTGTCACGTACATTTTTCTGTGTTAATATGCAATCTTCATAATTATAACTTATAAGGATGCATAATTCCCTTGAGTGGATATACTATAATTTAATTAAATAACCATTTTTTGTTACTGTAAGGTCATTTAAGCTGCTTTTTTTTTTCCATTTATAAAGATTTACATTTAAGACTAGCAGTGGTAATGAAACTTTTCCTTGGGAACTTCCTCAGCTAGACCTCAGACTTTTTTAAAAAAAAATTTCCTTTTTTAATGTTTATTTGTTTCTAAGAGAGAGAGAGAGAGAGACAGAGCACAAGTTGGGGAGGGGCAGAGAGAGAGGAAGACCCAGAATCTGAAGTAAGCTACAGGTTCTGAGCTGTCAGCATAGAGCCAGACACAGGGCTTGAACCCACAAACTGTGAGATTGTGACCTGAGCCATAGTTGATCACTCAATGGAACTGAGCTACCCAGGTGCCCTTCGGCCCCATACTTCTTAATAAACACAAGTATCATGATCCAGATTTGCTATGTGCTCAGGAATCCCACCACCAGAACAGTGGTTCTCTAAGCATCTCTGATGAAATATCAGTTTTGTTCTAATTTCCAATCTGTCGTGGATCAATTCCTTTTAAAACACAAAAACTGAAAAATGAAATGGAAAAAGAAACCAGAAACATACAAAATATAAGACCACAGTTTTTATTATTAGATTCAGTAGACAGAAAGTCTCTCTGCCAAATTTCTGTAAAAGTCTATAAAGAGTTATTTTCCATTTCTGTATTTACTTTGTTGGGGACTGGACTGTTATACCACGGGTTGTGGCCTGGTACCAGCCACAGATCATACTTTAGTACACTGCTCTGGGATACCATAGCACCCTGCCTTATCTCTTGCTGATAACTGTCAACTACTTTGTTTTCTCTACTGAGTTTCGTTTATTTTTAGCAAGCCATTGCCTCATCCACCTATTGTTATCACTTATACCTTTACTTCCCTTCTTATTCTTGTTTTCAAATGTGTGGTCTCTTCTCTCTGAATTCCTTTTCTGCTGATCCTTCTGTGACAGCTTCTTGGCGTTCCTCTGTCTTTACCCCTCATCAAAGTGTATATCATACCCCTCCTACCTCACCTGGCCAAGGCCATGTCTTATACTTCAGTATTGTTCTTACCTGAAAACTCCTGGATTTTGGTTATCACAGAGCCACCTTTAATCTGAAAAGCCTCTCTCTAGCCTTACTTTCTCCTTCCTTTATAAGAAACATCATCATCTCCTTCAGTAGTTCTTGTTGTATTAGGCCTATGCCTGGGACCATCAACTCTCAGGTTATTCCTATTAGAGACTTCTCTAAACATGTGTGCATCTGTTAGTTCATCTTTCCTCTCTTGATCTTATAACTTCCTAGACCCAGATTTTCTACTCTCTTAAAGTAATCTCAAGCTTAACATTCTTTTTTTATAATAAAGGTTTTTATAATTTTTATTTTTTTATTTTTTTGCAAGAGAGAGCAAGCAAGTGAGTGCAGGGGAGGGGCAGAGAGAAAGAGAGAGAGAATGCTAAGCAAGTTCCACACCCAGTACAGAGCCTGACACAGGGCTCCATCTCATGAACATGATATGACCTGAGCTGATAGCAAGAGTCAGATGCTTAACCAGCTAAGCCACTTCAAGCTTAACATTCTTTTGTCACTTATATCTGAATATGATAAAAACGAAATACCCAGCCACCTTAAAATGAGTATAGCATTTTATTTTGTTACCTCAGATTCTCTCTGACAAAAGTAAACTTTTAATCTTCTCTTCCAGTTGTTGTCCAGTTCCCAAATATTCCCTCAATGAGTTTGATGCTATCTCATCTGCTATTTAAGTTCGAAATATCAAGGATATGGGGCACTTGGGTAGCTCAGTCAGTTAAGCATTCGACTTCAGCTCTGGTCATGATCTCACGGTTCGTGGGTTCAAGCCCTGCGTCAGTCTCTGTGCTGACAGCTAGTTCAGAGCCTGGAGCCTGTTTCAGATTCTGTATCTCCCTCTCTCTCTGACCCTCCCCTGCTCACGCTCTCGCTCTCGCTCTCTCTCTCTCTCTCTCTCTCTCTCTCTCAGAAATAAATAAAACATTAAAAAATATCAAGGATAATCTAAAGAGTAATTCATTATTTGCTCTTCTACTAAAATGATGGGGCAAGTGCAGGAAAACAGGATCAAAGTTGCTGAGTGGAATAGCTTCAGTCTGGCCCCTGGAACATAGTAACATAATACTATGTAAACACAGTAACACCTTACATGTATAAGTGCTTTTGTCTCTCATTGATTCTTACAGCTTTGAGGGGTCCAGGGCAGACATCTGTTCTTGCCAGGCTATACCTGGAGAAACTGAGACTTAGAGTGACTTGCCTGAGGTGAAGCAGTAAGTGGTGACAGAGCTGCTCTAGAATCTGGATGTTCTTGTGTAGTTCAGTACCCATCAGTTACTATTCAGGATGGGGATCTTAGAATTATTTAGTCCCTGGAAAACCTCCTCCGGGTTCTTCACAATTTTTTAGAAATAGAACAGAAAGTATAACATTGCCCATGGAGAAAAGTTGGGAGATGTTTCACTCTCTTCCCCACAGCTCAGAGGGCAACCGAACTAGAAAACACAGATTTAGTCACTTTGTTGTGATTTTTGAGGAACCCCTTACATATTGGGGGGAATATTTGGGTGCAGAGTCTCTTGGTGCCACCCTTGAGGCAGAGGCCTGGTGAGATCCAGGTGCCCTTTCTTACCTTATGCTCCTGTGAACCAAACTGATGCAGCCACACACGCACACCCCTTCCCCCTGCATAGTTGAACCCACTTGTTCCCTTTGTCTCATATCATCAGATCTCTTAGCAAGGTAATTTGTGAGTCCACCTTTGTGACCTTCTTTTCTGCTGATCCCCTAGCTTTCAATCATCACAATCTTTATGGATGTGGTTCCCTGATAATTTTTCATGTCGTTTGTATCAGCCAGACACACTGCTACCTGCAGAGTCAAATGCCACCTTCTGTTTGCTGTCTTTAGAACATTCTCCTGGCCACCCCCTCTGTACCTGTGGGCTCTGCTTTCACTCCACTGCAGTCCCCATTTGGTTTTCCTAGTCCCACCTTCCTCCTTCCTCTCTTTCCCACTTCTCTGTCTTGTTCAAGGTGCGCTGAATCCTTGCATGAATCTCATTTTTGTTTGCCTTGCCATTGTCTTTTATCCCCTTAAGTCAGGGTTTTTAAGCTTGGCTGAATATTACAAACACTAGGGGAGATTTAAAAAAAATACCGACCCTTGGGCCCCTGCCCAGAGATTCTCTTGTAGTTTGATGTGAGGTGTGTTTGGCCCCACAGGCAGCTCTTTAAATGGGTGGCTAGGGTTGAGAACCATGACCTTAAATTGAAGTATCACTCTCCTCCTAAGATCTCACTGCTCAAAGTGTGATCCGTGGGTCGGCAGTATTAGCATGCCTGGAAGCTTATTAGAAATGCAGATTCTCGGGGTACCAGCTGGCTCAGTCGGTGGAGTGTGTGACCCATGTTGGGTGTAGAGATTACTTAAAAATAAAGTCTTTAGAGGCTCCTGGGGGATTCAGTCAGTTAAGTGTCCGACTTCAGCTCAGGTCATGATCTCATGGTTCATGGGTTCGAGCCCTGCATCGGGCTCTGTGCTGACAGCTAGGTCAGAGCCTGGAGCTTGCTTCAGATTCTGTCTCCCCCTCTCTTTTTGACCCTCCCCTGCTCACACTGTCTCTCTCTCTCTCTCAAAAATAAAACACTAAAAAAAGTTTTTAAATAAAGTCTTTAAAAAAATGCAGATTCTCTACACCATCCTGGACCTACTGAGTCAGAATCTGTTTTAACAAGGTCCCAGGTGATTTGTGCACATTAGGGTGTGAAAAGTCTGCTTTGAAACCTTCGTCTGTTTTCTAACCTGTTGCCACAACTTCAGCCTTTGCTTCTACAAGTCTGTGCTTTTGCTGGCCATGGAACCTACTTTCCCATTACAGCTCTTAGAATTTAAAATTGAGAGTTTAGAGTATATGTTCTTTGGTACATTTCAAATTCATGCCACCAAGATTTCTGGAAGGCCCTATGTGCAAGCAGATGTCCTCAGGCGGGGGTGGGGGGTGCTCATCATGTGGCTCTTCTCTTTCTGACTGCAGGGTTGTGGCCTTCCCTTGCCCTTCACTGGCCTGGTTCCCCAGTATGTGGCTTTGACTGTTTTTTCCTTTTTGACTCTCAGCAGAGAGCTATTGCACATCGGAGGCTTCAGCAAGAACATTCACTTCCCCTTGGTTCTGACTTCCCGTTAGAGCAAGACAATTTGTAAAGACAGCCCTGCGTGTGATAAAGTCTGGTGTCGGGAGACCAGAGGAGGCTGCTTGGCAGCTGAATTACCCCTGAGAGCGGGAAGCCTTTTTCCTGGAGGACAGGATATAGTTTGTTTAGGTCGGACTTTTTTTCTTATGTGAGGTAGAAGAGCTTGAGAAGCAACTAGAAATTTGACCCAAGTTCTCTAGAGGTCCTGACCTCCCATGCCTGCTCTCTGCATGTTTGTGATCGCATCCCGATGCCTCTTGCTCACTGCTGAGCTTCAGTTTTCAGCTTTCTCAATGCAAGGGACCCCCTTTGTTGCTTTGATTTATTTTCTAGGGCTCATTGGTGGCTTGACTTGGACAGTGCCAGAGCACGGGTGCATGTGGTAATGTTGATGGTCCCATTCTGTTCTGAGATCCTTGACCTCTGGCAGAATGGTACCTATGATGGCCCTTCCCAGATGAATGCAGTCTTGAGGTGGTTCACATGGAAAGCCTGGTGATGTTAATCAACTGAGATTTTACCTTAATTTTGAGGGAGTGATTATGGTTGGGGCAGAAGCAGCACATCAGGCAACTTTTAGAAGTACATGTTTATCACCCAGAATTCTGTTGGGCAGGGAGATTGCCATCATTGTCTATTCTGAGCCCCCATTCGGCAGGTGATCTCGCTGCCGAAATAATTTCCTGCTATTTTTCCCAAACTCTCTGGAGAATTTATGAGGGGGTGTTTACAAAGTCTTTTCTGTTCAGCATATTATGATAGGAAAACTTGTTATTCCTCCATGCCTAGATCCTCACCCTTTAAACTGGGGCAGTGGGTCTCAGTACTCAGATAACACTGAAGCTGTAAAACTTCTGTGAGGAAATAGTGATTTGCCAAGACATACTGAGGAGTGAGATTTGGGGGAAGGCTGGGTAGCTCATTTACTGAAAGCATGAATACAGCTAAGAACATGAGGAACATGAAGAAGACACCCTTCTTAGGGAAGGGTGGGGAGACCTTTCTCAGCCTGCCTGCCTAACGATAGCTCAGCCTTTTTTCTCTTATCTTGCAGACCAGTCCCTCTCCCCATTCTGGAGTGTCCAGGCAAGTGCGGATCAAAGCTTCCCAGTCTGCAGGAGATATAAATACCATCTACCAGCCCCCCGAGCCCAGAAGCAGGCACCTGTCTGTCAGTGAGTATTTCACCCCTTTTTTCCCTCTCATCTAATTTATCTGCCCTGCTTTTTAAAAATCAAATATTAATTTAAAAACATCATCAAATATTCATAGATTACTACCCTGTGCAGAATCAACTTTTGTGCCTTTATTTGGGAGGAATGGGTAGAGAAATGACTGGAATGGTATCCCTACCCTCAAGGAGCTTATAGTATAACAACATGATAGCGTGACCAAGTTCCTTTTGAATATGTCTGAAAAAGTGATCTCCTCAAACATCTGCTTGAAGACCTCCCAACGACAGTCCACTCTCATCTTTTTTAACATTTATTTATTATTTTTGAGAGACAGAGTGTGAGCGAGGGAGGGGCAGAAAGAGAAGAAGACACAGAATCTGAAGTGGGCTCCAGGCTCTGAGCTATTAGCAGAGAGCCCTATGTGGGGTTCAAACCTCCAAATCGTGAGATCATGACCGGAGCTGAAGTCAGACACTTAACTGACTGAGCCACCCAGGCTCCCTGTACACTCTCATTTTTGACCATTACTTTGCCTAAGAACTGGGGACTTGTGAGGTTAGGACTCAGGTCCAAGTTTGAGTTTTGACCTTAGACCTCTTGCTTGTGATTCCTGAAGAGGCCTTATGCTCTGAGGAAGATGTTGACCAGTGAAACTCTTGGAGAATCAAACTAAGTTTCTGCGAAGGACAGGAGACTGTTGACATAGTGTATATGATTGGCTAACTAGGAAGAAAGCTATGTAGCTGCTCCCAGGCCTCCCCAGGAAAGAAATCTAAGTCAGGTCCGTGCATTATAGCAGATAATCCAATATTGTACTGGATCCCATTTCCCAGAGTCTGAGGAGAAAGCCCATGTTCTGAATTGTGGATTCTGTATCAAGAGGGAAACCAGGACTTCAAATGTTTGTGTTGAGGTTACTGCTGCTGGTAGGAAGGCAAGTTCTCCTCACACAGGTAGAATTGCATCCAATTAAACTGCTCTCAGAAGATCTTGAGCTGAGCATGGGGACTTCTGAACATCAGTCCTGCCGCTGAGCCTGTCTGTGAGTGATAAGCTTCCTGAGGGAGTAACATGGGTTACTGAGGCACTGACTTTGCCTTACTGAGTAATTTCAGCCACCTGAGCAAACACTGGTAATAAGTGTTGCCCAGCTGAAGGTGCGTATATGAGCTTCATATTTCTCTAATATTGTAGATAACTGGTGGTTATGTTTTTTAATAAGCTTGTCAAGGAGAGAGAGCCAGCACCCTAGCAAGGAGACCCTATCTAGAATATCTCTAGTCCTGGAATCCAGGTGCCCTGACTCTGCGAGTATAGCTTCTGTTCCAGAGCCCTGGAAAGACTGAGGGGCTGGAGGAGGGCAACATTTGCTCATTTGTATAGTAAGCAGTGAGGATTGACGTGGGACAGTGATTGGGCCTCCTTGTCCTAAGCAAGAGCCCGTGATTTGTATGTAGAGGCAGGGGTTAAATGCTGGGCTGTTGTTGTGAGGAGCCATATATAGAATTTCCTTGTCTGAGAATGCTGAGGATTAGGATTTTTATGAAATAGTTCCTTTGTGTCTAGGGATTGGGCAACACAGCCTCCCAGCATGTATAGATTCTGGGTTCCTTCATTCAGCAAGCATGATGTACCAGTCATTGGGCTGGGCTGAGGGCTACAATGGAGGCTGCAGTGGAGGGCAGGGTGGGGTGGGAACACGGAGCAGGCAGTAACTAACTCTGCCCAGGCCTTTGGAGAAGGTCTTCCACAGAAGAGGAAACATCAGAGCTGACACACGAAGGAAGATTTGTTAAGCGTAGAAATACTCAAGGCACAGGAAGGGGTACCCACCAGACATAATTGAAAAATAAGGTGTTGGGTTCCAAGAACCTCAAGTGGTACGGAGTGTGGCTGACATGGCAGAAGTGGGCAGAGCCTGCCAGCCTTTCCATAGAGATAAGAAACAGCAGAGATTATTTCTAACTGGAATGACCTGGGACATGCAGTCTGTGGAGGAGCTGTCTAAACTGGTCTTTAGAGATTATGGGGGACTTCTATAGGTAAGGATGAGGGGAGAGGGCTTTTCAACTGTTAGCCTGTGGAAATCTCACTTGTGCTTCAGACTGCCTGGTGTATTTGGAGGAGAATAAAGAAAGGTGAGAAACGATGCCTGGACCACTTCCCTAAGGAAACTTCACTGCCCTTGGGCTTACTGGTAGGCAGTGGGAAGCCACTGAAAATGTTGGTCCCTTATGCCCATCTCCATTATAGTGTTTATCACATTATCTTATTATCTTTTTTCTTCCCATCAAACTGCATTTTTATTCATTTATTTATTCACTTCAGGTTTAATTGTCAGAATATCAGCTATGTGCCAGAAACATGGGAAGCCAAAAAGACCTGGCTTCTGCCCCTATGACTCTTGTAGATGCATAAGACAATTTGTCTTTGGGAAGAAAATACTTACTTGTCATGATGAGATTAATGTGTAACTTATAGGCTGTTGCTGAAAGGTGTGTGGTGCTGTGAGCATGTATAACAGAGGGATGCATCCAGATTTGGGGTCCAGGAAAGCCTTACTCTGTGATCTGGAGCATGAATGGGAGTTATGCGAAAGGAAACAAGGAAGAGAGAGGCAGGGAGAGCTATACGTGTGGAGGCCTGCTGGCTGGGGGAGTGTGGTGTGATTGAGAAACAGAAAGAAGCCCTGAGGCTGGAGACCTGAGAACAATCGGGAGAAACGGGCTGAGGCCAGGGAGGGACACAGAACCCTATGGTCTGTAGTGAACATTTTGATCTTTAATGTTGAAAGCAGTGAAAATCCACTTTCAGGTTTTTAAAGTGAATAGAAATGGGTGATGTGACATATTCTGATTTGTGCTTTGAAAAGATTGCTCTAGCTACGTCATGGAGAACAGATTGCAGGAGAGTAAGAATAGATTAAAGGGAAACCATGTTGTGCTGTTTCAAAGGGGCACATGCACCCCAGTGTTAAAGCAGCGCTATCGACAATAGCCAAAGTATGGAAAGAGCCCAAATGTCCATCAGTGGATGAATGGATAAAGAAGATGTGGTATATGTGTGTGCGCGTGCACACACACACACACACACACACACACACACACACACACAATGGAGTATTACTCAGCAATCAAAAAGAATGAAATCTTGCCATTTGCAACTATGTGGATGGTATTATGGTGAGCGAAATTAGTCAGAGAAAGACAAATATCCCATGACTTCACTCATATGAAGAATTTAGGATACAAAACAGATGAACATAAGGGAAGGGAAGCAAAAATAATATAAAAATGGGGAGGGGTACAAAACTTAAGAGACTCTTAAATGTAGAGAACAAGCAGAGGGTTCCTGGAGTGGTTGTGGCGGGGGGGCAGAGGGGGTGGACTAAATGAGTAAGCGGCATTAAAGAATCTACTCCTGAAATCATTGTTGCACCATATGCTAACTAACTTGGACGTAAATTAGAATGAATGAATGAATGGAGGGAGGGAGGGAGGGAAACCATGTTAGGCTAATGCAGTTTGGTCCAGGGGAAGAAGACAGAAGCTTGAATTAGGCTGATGACAGTAGTGGAGAGAAGGCACACGTGTATTTGAGACATTTAGAAGGTAAAAGCAACAGAACATGGCACTGTGGTGGTTCTCAAAGTGTGGTTTGGGGTGGGAACTCAATGCAGGGGTCCCTGAGATCCTTTCAGGAGGTCTGCAGTTTGCCTTTTTACTCATTCTCTCATGAGTGTACAGTGGAGTTTTCCAGAGGTTACATGCCTAAGGTGATGTAATTGCTCCGATGGCTAATGGAATGTGTGCTTATGTATTAATTGTGTTTTGAAAAAAAATTGTTTTTAAAGGTTTTTATTATTTATTTATTTTGAGAGAGAAAGCATGAGTAGGGGAGGGCCAGAGAGAGAGGAGAAAGCGAGAATCCCAAACAAGCTCTGCATTGTCAGCACAGAGCCCAACTTGGGGCCTGCTCTCTCACAAACTGCGTAATCATGACTTGAGCCAAAGTCAAGAGTCAGATGCTCAACCTACTGAGCCACCCAGGCGCCCTGTGTGTTTGAGCTTTAATATCTAATACAGTGAATATCAATTGATAAAACCAACTTAATAAAAGCTATGTGATATCCTTGATTTTCAAAGTATAAAAGGGTTCTAAAACCAAAAGGTTTAAGAACTACTGTGATATTATATTGATTTTGCAGATGTTGAAAGAGTAGGAGATAAGTTACTGGTTTATGGATCTGGATGAACGGCACTGCCTTTCACCAAGACAGAAATGGTCGACGAGAGCCTGGTTTCACGTGCTGAGAAGAGGCAGACCTGATGTTTTAGACAGATTGAATTGGAGGTGCCTTTCAGAGAGCCAAGAAGAGATAGCAAATGGACAGTTAGATATATAGGTCTCTAGGGGAGAAAATCAGGACTAGAAAAAAAAATTAGAAATTATCTAGTTGAAGCCATATACCCAGGTGAGAGGCCCTAAGGAGAGACTACAGAGTAAGAAGAGGCTGAGGACTGAGCCTTAGAGACTTCATGGCCAATGAGAGGAAGATGAACCTGCAAAGGACACAGCACAGGAGTGACCAGAGAAACAAGAGGGGGTAAACGGAGGCCTTACATGGTACCAGCCAGGTTGGAAAGGGCAGACCAAGGGCAGCTTGTCATTTGGTCCACAAATGTCTGAGTGCTTGCTGTACTGGTGCAGTGTAAAGCCGTCTAGAAGTAGAAGGAAATAGGAAAAGAGTCAGGGTTGAAGCATTGGGCACTAAGAGAAGTCCTTGGAGTAGAAATGGGGTTGAGAAGCCTTAGCCATTCAGCTCTCAACCAGCAGAAGCAAGTGGGATTTGCCCTCCTCCCCTCACCAATATGAAGGAACCTGTATTTAGTGAGAGACGGTAACATGCATGTCATTCAGCTCCCACTGCACCATGTTCAGTGATGGGGAAGTACAAGGCAGCCCAGTCCAATTTCAGATCGTGCTATTTGTTTGAAGTTTTTCCTTATATTGAATTGAAAATCTGCCTTCTCTCACTTTACCCAGTGACTCTCGTACTGCTATGTTGAGCAACACAGATGTACAGATAACATCTTTCATCTGACAGTTTTTCAACTATTTGAAACCAGTTATCATGTTTACCTTTCATTCTTTCCATCATAATATACATACCTTGAATTCTAATTTTTTTCAAGCCATTTAGCCTGTTAAACTAGTTCATGCTAAAAACCAAAAAACAAGCACTAAACAAACAAAAACAACTAGGTAATGAGTTAACCCTAAAGAAAGACCCCTGTGGGGAGATCTTCAGACAAGGCAGCTGGAGTTTTCCTATGTGATGATGCCCTTTGCTTATAGAAATTCTACCCACCTTTGAAGCCAAGCTCAAGCACCATTTTTTCCCATAATATATTGGGTGGTGCCCTTAAGCCATGCAGCCAAGCCCTGCCACATTCTGACTCCTGTTCGGTCTAGTGCATCTTGTTAAGTGCCTTTGCTTCTGTTCCCACTCTGTCTTGCTCCTTGTCTTATCGCTGTGGCCCCACAGTTAGGCAGCCAGATCGCAGCCCCTAAGGAATGAGTAGTGGGGGAGCAGAGGCAACCGGTTCTTTCACAGAGCGTGGTGGTGAAAGAAAATCAGAGATGGGTTAGTAGTTTACACGAGAGGCAAACGTAAGGTCAGACTGTAAGTTAGAGATCTGAGCCTGCTCACGAAGAAGGGAGGCATAAAGTCAGCTGAAAAGGGGGTTGAATGTGGTGCCAAGGAGACTGTGGGGAAGCCGACTCCTGTGACAGATGAAGCAAGGAGTGCAGGGAGAAGGTGCAGAATGCCTTGGCCGGGAGGAGGAGAAAAGGAAAAGTTCAGGCAGAGGAGGAGAGAAGTGTGGAAAGGATGAGGTGACTTGTAGGGAGCCGTGGTGGGAGCGGGGTAGAGAGCTGTGCGCTGTGCAGACCTCCTGTCCCCCTGTCCTGGTGCAGTCGGAAGGGCGGGGCCCAGGATCACGCAGGTCAGCTCCCTTCACTTCCACAGGGCTCTTCTCCTTGCCAGAAATTCTTCTGTGATGCTACATGAGACCAGAAGCTGTTTCGTAGTGGTGGCAACTTCACAATAAAATGGGAATTTTGAAAGTTGAAGCACATAGGATGTTCTCCGGGTCTCATGGGATGAAATGTTCTGCACAGCCTGGTCTAGTGTAAGCACACTGAGAAATACTGGTTAAGGTTTCCCACTGAAGAAGAAAAAAAGATTTGATTCCTCCCCCAATCTCATCTGCCCAGAAAGAGACAGCAGAGTTTAGAGAAAATAGTTGATGGCCAAAACAGCTATCTCTTTGTACTTGGAATGACCTGCACATTAACACTGACCTCAAACCCTAGAACTCCCTGCAGAGGCAACTTCCTGACTGCATCAGCTTCCTGACAGGAGTCTCCTATGAGAAAGGCTAAAATCTGAGAGCCAGTCTTTCAGCTTTGGGGGAGAGTTTTGCTCAGACTCTGCACTATGGGTTAGGGAGCTAGCAGAGAGCTGGCATGCCCTGGGGCGGGGGGCTGAGGGGGTGGAGCATGGATGGCCAGCAGCTTAAAGTCCTGGCTTTCTCCTTTGTGTGTAGAACACCTTCATGCAAAGCTGTGGGCCACTCTGAACACAGGTCTACTACTCTGCTTTGTTGCTTCAGCCTCTGTTGCTGGGGCCTCTTGGCACAAATGGCCTCACAAGAATAGAACAAGATCGGGCTAGAATGCCAGGGAAGGGCATTCCAGAGAGCCTGCTATCCCTGTCATGCCTGCTTTCTGAGGCCCCAGATGAGTGGTCTTGCTTGCATAGTACTGTGATTTGTGCTGTCTAGCTCACTGCTGTCTCTGCTGGTAAATGTGGGGGCATCAGTGGGTCTTGCACTCCAGTATCCTGTCCTGTTCAGGTCCCTGTCTTACTTGTTCTCGACTACTGTTGTGTGTCTCACTAGCCCCCAATTTCTGAATTGAAGATAAAAACAAAACTGAAAATGCTCTGGAGCAGTTCTGCCAACTCCTGGTTTTTCCATTTGCTTCCTCTGATAGCCATTGGTTTGGGGAGACTTCCCTTTCCTGCCCCAAGCTGTGGGCCTGTGCACAATAGCCTCTGGCCCATTGCCCATCAGATAATAAGACTGGCTCTCTGCAGGCAGCAATGTGTATTGGAAAAAGTGAAAGTCTCTGGCTGGAAATAAAAGCTCAGAAAACCTTTGCTGTTTTCCCCCAGCCCCTCCTGGGTCTGTAGTGCTGTCCTCGTGAGCCAGTTCCATCCTACCTGTAAAACCAGGGGAGAGTTCAGTGGCAGCTGGCGAGAGAGAGGATAGATGTTGGGTTCTTGGATATTTTATCCCAAGGAGGCTTCACCTAGACACTGTGTAACAAACTGGAGCAGTTCATCCTTTCTGGGAATAGTTTGGACCCCTGTCTGGGATTTCACCAGTAAGTGGGTTTTTCTTTCTGATCCGTCCCTTACAAGAGACATTTTTTCTTCATCCTAGGTCAAATGTGTAATACTTTTTCATTCCAGTATGTATTGCTCAGGGTTCAGGTGCACAGAGTAGAATCCACTCTAATTTCAGGAAGAAGAGATTTAGTGCACATTCTGGCTTATAGGGTAGAGAGAGAAAGAGAGAAACAGACACCATAGAGCTACTCCCTCTTCTGTAATCGGGAAGCTACCAGATTGAGAAGCACAGTGCCCTTCTGCTCTGCTCCACACCATGTACATAGAGGATGCCTGCATCAGTGTCTTGACATTGGAAAAACTGGAGACCAGGTGTGGGGCCTCTGGTAACGCTGCAGCAGAAAAACTGCAGCTTCCATGACTATGTCCAGGAGCAGTAGGAGTAGCAGGAAGCCATCTAAATCTCACACAAGTGCATCTGATTGGCTGGACCTCTGGGAGTCTTAGAAATAATAGCTTTTAGCTTTAACTTCTAACGTGCATGAAGGCATACCAGAAGGGTAGAATGGATCTTGAGTGTAACCCATTTTATCTGCCACATAGAGCGAAGGAAACAAATGGCATTCTGCTGAGTTCCTACCTTGTACCAGCCTCTGCAACAGACCTTTGGTCTGACCTGGTCCCGTGTCTGCTCCTCTCAAGGTACATCCTGGGCTCTGTTGTAAAAGATCTTGTTTCTGTGCTCTAGGCTCCCAAAACCCTGGACGAAGCTCACCTCCCCCTGGCTATGTGCCTGAGCGGCAGCAGCGCATTGCCCGGCAGGGGTCCTACACCAGCATCAACAGTGAGGGGGAGTTCATCCCAGAGACCAGTGAGCAGTGTGTGAGTATGGATCCTGGGGATGCCTTGGAGTATGTCAGACCAAAGCTATAATGGGGCTTCTCAGTGGTCGCTAAGAGCACTCTGAGCTCTTAGAATCCACCTTCAGTTCCCTGCCGTATGGCTTTCTCACAGTATGGCAGCTTCTTCAAGGCCAGAAGGAGAATCTCTTGCTCCAGTCTGTGGAGCATAATGTAAGATAAAGATGGAGTCATAAAATGTAACATAATCACGGGAATGAACATACCACCCTCTTTGCCATAGTTCGTTGACTAGAAGCAAGTTATAAGTTCTCCCCATATTTAAGGAAAGGGGTTTATACAAAGCTGTGATTCATTGTGGGGGTCACTTTAGGGTATGTCCTCCAGAATGGCTCACCCATTTCAATGGCTTTTTTTTTTTTAACTAGTGGCTCACTTGTTGAAAATGACATTTTAGCTTAGTGAATTCAGCAAGAGCGAGATCTCCAGCTTTGTTCTGAAGTCTTTTCACAGAGCTTTGCTTTGATTGCATTAGAGAAGGATCCACACTTATACATGTTTAGGATTTGGTCTGGCAAGGGGGGATTTCTAAAGAGTGAAGTGTCCAGTAGAAGGACCAGCACCATCACATGAGGGATTTTACAAAAAACTGATCCTTGTAACTTTTCTTTCCCCTAAAACTGATTCTTACAACTTTTCTTTCCCTGTGATAGCTAATCTCTGAAAGCATTATCCAAATATATAGGCTTTGAGAAGCCCTTTATACTGCTTCTTCTCTCTTCTGTAACTCTTGCTTTCCAGATAAACTTATGTTTTAGAACAGTGATCTGGAGTGCTTTTAGATAAGGATCCCCTTCTTAGGTATTTTACTGACTATCTTTCTGTTTTCTCTAACCAGAGCACTTCTGGACATCAGCTGCGTTAGACGTGACTTGGGTGTAAAATCTCAGAGATAGTAAATGAGTTTATTGCCTTTGGTCTCTATCCTTCCCTGTTGCCCTATATTCTGCTCCTTTTACTTCTTTGTTTTATCTGGCGAGCCCTGGAAGGTGTGAGAGTATTAGACTCCTAGTGAGGACAGACTTTTAGAAAAAGGCCAAAGAAGGAATGCCCAGGTCCTTCCCAGTGCCCGCCTCTTTAGCTAACGTGAATTGTTCCTGGTAATGGACCATTCAAGATAAATCCACTTAACGGAGACCAAAACAGTGTAGTAGGTAGTGAAAGAATATTCAATTGGGACTTTCTGGAAAAGTGAAACTAAGATAAGTTTGTTTTGTTTTTTCTTTAATCAGATTAAGGAGATAGTTGCATGTATTTGCTAATTTTTAGAATGAACACACGCATGATTCAGGTAAATTTTTTGGGCCTAATTTTTATATGAAAAATTTTGCTAACACTGTTTAACTTCCTTGACTTCCCTTTTGACTTCTGCAGCACTGTCATAAGGATTGTCCTTTTTTGGGGTGCCTGGGCATCTCAGTTGGTTAAACATCCAACTTCAGCTCAGGTCCTGATCTCATGGTTTGTGAGTTGGATCGCTGCATTGAGCTCTTTGCTGTCAGTGCAGAGCCCACTTCAGATCCTCTGTCTCCCTCTCTCTGCCCCTTCCCTCCTTGCTCTCTCTCTCTCTCTTTCTCAAACATTAAAAAAATTTATACTTTTTTACAGAAGGCTTCACAGAATTCAGTGAATTTTCCAAAGGCCCCTTTTGAATCTTTGGTATTCCTCCTTCATTACACCTGCCGTGTTATTGTACTTGCACGTTCTTCTTCTGTAAACTGGTCTCACTTTGAAACTATGGGCAAGATGGACCCTAGCATTAAATAAGAAGAGATAATTTGAGTTGGAAACTAATTTTATGAAAGTTGTTAGTGAATTTTCATAATTCTGATTTCTGCTTCCCTATGTAATTTTTAACTTTGGCTCTCAGATAATGAATACTCTGATAGGGAATACCCCCCTAGGCTAAATTAAGGGAATTTAGTTGGAGAAAATTTAGTTGGCTTTTTATTACTGCATTTGACCAAGGGCCAGAGAAACATTTTAACTTACATAGTAGGTATTTATTGCCTGTATATGAGAACCAGGATCTAGGAAATTTTTCATCTGTATCAGCTGTACAATAACTAGTTTCATGACTTTAAACAATTATCGTAACCTTTCTAGACCTGTAGTGACTTGTCTGTGAAATGAGGGCAATACTTGTCTTTGTAAATTTGAAATTAGGGAGTATAAACAGAAGCAATACAGTCCCACCCAGATGCACTGGAAGCCTCTGCGGGTAGTACAAGCTCCAGCACCAGGCTCCCAGTGTTCACGAGCCAACAGAATGCCAACAAGAGAAGTAGCATCTCTGCTTTGCTCTCCTGGCAGAACTCCTTGTGATGCTGGCCAACCATTTTTCTCACTCCTGGAAACTTGCTTTTCAGACTACAAGGGAGAATGGTACCTTCCTAATCATTCTTCCCACTGCACAGGCAGAGAAAGGGCACTTTCTTATTTTTGACAAAAGCACATTTGCAGCCCTGAGTCACCTGGCTGGGATTGGGTTTTATTGTATGACTTACCTTGCAGATGTTGGATCCTCTGAGCAGTGCTGAAAATTCCTTGTCAGGAAGCTGCCAATCCTTGGACAGGTCAGCAGACAGGTACGGGGCTGTGGCTGCTCTGGGGGTTAGTGCATAGGCATTTTTGGAACTGATGGGCTAAAGAAATAGGGTTAGCTAGTATGTCTCTGATCTAAACATTGGTCTCCAGGTCCATGGTTAAAGCATCATGCTTCTGGGAAAGAAATCTCTTTCTGGGATTCCTAGCCATCTCCTTAATTTTTCAAATACCATGAGAATGTTATGTTTGTATAGTTTGATGAATGTAATAGAAGCTCATGATAGCAATTCACATGTATTAAATGCTTGCTCTGTTATTACAAGTGCTTGACATGTTCTGAGGTTCCGTATAATATACACACTGATCTTGTGCTCTTGACCTCATTGCTGTGATCTGGCCTGACAAGCAGTGAAGCTTCAGTGTTTTGGGGACAAAATTGAATTATCACCTGTGGGTTTGCTTTCTTTTTTTTCTCCAAGTGTTTCTAATGGAATAAGAAACTGGGATATAAAAAGCAGAAAACAAAATATCCAGACTGCCTAGCTTACCACGCTGCTTAGTGTGGAATTTTGTTCTCACACTTTGGGAGGGAACAAGAGCTGTCTTTTACATACCAACTGGTTCTGTGGAGCCGGTTCGCCCGTCAGCAGGGGTATGTTTAGAGATGGCTCTGGCACTGATCTGGCCAGCCTGTCACTTTAACTTTGTTATGCCCAATAGCACGTTTGATCACGTCTGGCTGGGCTTAGGGCTGTGGTCAGAGGCTGCAGAGCAGGCTTGGGAATTTTTTTCTTTTGTGTAACTGATTAATTGTTCATATAGGTACTGACCTTGTGACTACAGCCAAATCTGTATTATGTCTTTCCTACCAGATCTGAGAACTGATGAGCAGTGTCTTCCCTCTAGACGTCATAGAATTCAGTCATAGTTACGTGTTGGCATCCAGTTCATAGCCTTGTTTGGGGCTTGCTCTTCAACCAGGGGAGCAAGAAGGCCCAGGTGAAAGTGCCAGGAGTTGTTGCCAAAAACTGTAGGTTCCACCAGGACAGGGACCAACTCTGGCTTTGGATTATCTCCTAAGCTTTGTGGCCGAGCAGGGTGGGGAGTGGGGTGGACAGTGGGACAAGACCAGAAAGTCTAGTAGTTGAGAAGTAGGGGCCGCCCCATGTTGCCTTGACCGTTTCTGACCTGTGGCTCTCTCTGTCAGAAGGCACTTAAGTATAAGGGAGAGGACCCTTCAGGTGAATGCTAGGAAAGATAGCTAAAAGAACCCACTTGGTTCTTGGGTTTTTCCTCTGTCCCTCCAATGCTTTGTTTTCTTTCCCTGGAGAGTAAAATCCAGTGATCTGGACTTATCCCTTGAGGCCCAGCCTAAAAGATTGGGCTTTCCTCTCCTCCTCTTTATGGCATCTGGAGCCACATAGAGCCCAGCTCCACCAAGTAGAAATCCAATAGCTTGGGACAAGTCCCTTAACCTCTCTATTCCTCAGTTTCCCCATCTCTTAAATGGGATGATAGTGATTAATCTGAAAGAAAGACAGTTGGTGTTGTTGCTATTTTTATTACTGCCCTGGGTGAGGGAGTTTTTTTTGCAGCTCTTTCCCTGTTACCAAGGTGAGAGGAACGGGCAAGAAGGGAAAGTGTTGCGCTGCCAGTGTGGAATTTGGGAGGTCTGGAGGGGTTTATTATTCAAGGTCCTGTCAGATTTGGGCTTCAGACTAGTAAAAAGAAAGTAGTAGAAGGCTGAACTCTGAAGAGGGCTGTTTCTCTCTAACTCTGCTTCCCTCCTAAACTGTGAGAACAAGATTCCACACCAAGCAGGTACTGTGGTAAGCTAAGCAGTCTGGATACCTTGTTTTCTCAGTTTTCTATCCCATGTCATAATGTGGGAAGGAGTTAGAGAAGAGAATCCGTCTGTATATCCTGCCTTCTGCCCTCACGGGCAGCCTTTCCAAGTACGCTGAGCCGATGTCCACATCGTGGTGTTGTTTTGTTTTTTCCAGCCCATCCCTCCGGAAATCGAGAATGTCCCGAGCCCAGAGCTTCCCTGACAACAGACAGGAGTTCTCTGGTGAGTCCCCCAGAGCCTGGACGAGCACTGCAGGACTTCTGGGTGGGGCTCTAGGCATTCTGCTTGGCTAGCTGAGTTGGGAAGCCAGGGCTGTACTCTAATTCTCCTCGGGCCTGCTGTTCTGAGGTCTCAGGTGACAAGGTCTTAAATGACTCACTCACATTCACCTACCCAGAAACCAGCGGTTCCTCTATCTTATTCAGATCGGGAAACTCAGCTGTATGACAAAGGGGTCAAAGGTGGAACCTACCCCCGGCGCTACCACGTGTCTGTGCACCACAAGGACTACAACGAGGGTGAGTGCACCTCCACCCTGCCCCCTGCTGGCTCCCTCAGAAGGGACCCGGGTAGAGTTTTGCCACAGGAAAGCCACTGCCAGGGACTGTGCCCAGGCACCCCAGACCCCATGTTTCCTTTATTCCTGAGGAAGTGTGCCCAGATGTGAGGTACTAGAGACTGAGGGGAGATGGGGGGAATGGTGGCATTTGGAAACCAAGATGCTGGCCCTGGGAACACTGTCCTTTGTCTGAGCGTGCTCCATGACACCAGCTCTCCAGCGCCCTCTTCTGCCCCATGGCAGCAGACAGAATGGAGCTTCCACGAAGGTTTGGTTGGGGATTACCATGCCAGGGAAAACAGACTGCAGCAATGGATTGTGCTTGTGAGTGATGTGGCACCCACGGGCCAGCCCTGTGCCTTCCCTTTGGCCAGGGCTTCCTGAACCATCGGTGGCTGCTTTCTAATTCCTGCTTTTGTCCTGATTCTCAAGGTGCTTTGACATTAGCTATTCTGGCATGAGTTAGGTGAAAGGGCAGATGGGTGAATGGTGCGGTGTGCACATTTAGCCTTGTGGGCAGGGGTCTGACTTGCTCTTCTCTGGCCCCTGCACTCCTTCAGGCAGAAGAACATTTCCCCGAATACGGCGTCATCAAGGCAACCTCTTTACCCTGGTGCCCTCCAGCCGTTCCCTGAGCACAAATGGCGAGAACATGGGTCTAGCAGTGCAGTACCTGGACCCCAGAGGGCGCCTGCGGAGTGCGGACAGTGAAAATGCCCTCTCTGTGCAGGAGAGGACTGTGCCAACCAAGTGTGAGGAGTGGGCCCCGGCTAGGAGGAGACCACCCAGGGGGGCACTCAGACAAGCTTCAGGGCAGGAGGCCAGTGGTCCACTGGGCTTGTTCAGCTCAGCGGCAGGCTGCTCTGGCCCGTTCTCACCACACTGAAAGAGACTGTGGGTTGGCACATCCCCTAGGCCTTAGGCCTTGGTCCTCTGCTGTGCAACAAGCCCCTTCGCCTCTCTGGTCTCTCGTTTGTCCATATTTAAACAGAAGAGCAGTCTTCTGAGTCCTTGCTGTATGAAAGTATTTGGGGGGGGGGGGGCGGTGGTGGGCACCTGGATGGCTCAGTCAGTTAAGCGTCCTACTCTTGGTTTCAGCTCAGGTCATGATCTCACAGTTCATGAGTTTGAGCCCTGCATTGGGCTCTGTGCTGATGGTGTGGAGCTTGCTTGAGATTCTCTCTGCCCCCGCCCCCAATAAAATAAATTAATTTTAAAAAGTATTTAGGGATTTAGGAAGTAAAGATATTTGATCAATGCAGAAGAGCATTTAACCATGATGTTAGCCAACCATTTGCTTCTCAGCACATGGGCCTAATGGTCCAACTAATCAGGGCACTAGGCCTGCTCCAGAGTGGTGGGGATGCTGGGCTGAGGACTAAGAGGGGGTCTTGAGCCAGAGGTGCTGTCACAGAGCCTCTGGAGACTGAGGCAACATCTCAGAAAATAATGTGCCTGAGCTAATGCTCTTTCCTTTCATTCTCCTATAGCTCCTAGCGCCCCCATCAATTGGCGCCGTGGGAAGCTCCTGGGCCAGGGTGCTTTCGGCAGGGTCTATTTGTGCTACGATGTGGACACAGGACGTGAACTTGCTTCCAAACAGGTCCAGTTTGACCCAGACAGCCCTGAGACAAGCAAGGTACTGACTTCTGCATGGTCTGGCAGTCCCCCCCACCCCCCAGTAAAGTGCCTGTCTCATTGCATAAACTAACTGCTCGAGATGCTACAAGATGCTTCCCCCATCATTCTTCCTAAGTTCCCTTGCTCTCCACCCTGGCCATGGCCATGGAACAAAGGGACTGTGGTCCAAAGAGCATCAAACCCCCTAGGGGAGGGATTGAGTATGAGATACTGAGTTGATGCCAAAGTACCAAACCACCCAAACCAAGAGGCAGTGGCCAGCGCCTGGCCACCCTCACCAGACACACAGCCTCTCTCAGCCCTCGGTCCAGGTAGGAACTTATCTTTGGAGTTCAGCTTTGAGTGTGGCCTATACTCCAGCCTCAGTGGACAAATACAGCAGTTACCTTAACTAAGCACGCACAGCCCATTCTCCTACCCCACTGCCTTCCCTCTTCCAGCATGGGAATGCCACCATCCCATGGGCTGCCCAGCATAGTGTCCAAGGGCCAGACAGTTGGGAGAGACCTCTTTGCTCCAGCTTAAGTTCCAGAGGCAGACAGACCCCCTCTAAAGTCACTTACTAGGGAAGTTGAGCTGATCCCGGGTGGTTAGAGCCAGGGCCCTGGAAGCCAAGGTGACCTCTGAGCCCCTCCCCCAGGAGGTGAGTGCCCTGGAGTGTGAGATCCAGCTGCTGAAGAACCTGCAGCACGAGCGCATAGTGCAATACTACGGCTGCCTGCGGGACCGCGCCGAGAAGACTCTGACCATCTTCATGGAGTACATGCCAGGGGTATGTTCTCCTTGGTGCATGTGGGGGACACACACAAAGGAGGGCCAGACCTGGGCCGTAGACTCTGGGGGAGGGGGTCCTTGGACATGCTTCTGATCACTTGAGACACCAGAGGCTCAGGGGAGAAGGTGAGGTGATACTCAAAGTCCAGGGGGGCCATACATCTGGCTGCAGTGATGGTGTGGGATGTGAAGTGTCCCGGGCCACCCTGACCCAAAGCTTACAGGGTGATTGCACTGTCCAGTAAGTACTGCCTGTAGCTGGTGCAGAGGCCCCTCCCTTCTGGATGTAGGTCACACATTGCTCAAAGGAAAGGATGCGTCATACTGTTCTCCAGGGTGCCCAGTAACCCCTAGCAAAGCCTGGTGCATCGCTTATGGTGGTTGGCTGAATTACTCCTTTGCTGCAATGCTAGGGGCTGGGAATAGCCTTGTTCCCTTCTGACCCCTTCCTGAGCTGACTCCTGACTCCTGTGGCTGTAGGGCTCAGTGAAAGACCAGTTGAAGGCCTATGGAGCTCTGACAGAGAGTGTGACCCGCAAGTATACCCGGCAGATCCTGGAGGGCATGTCCTACCTGCATAGCAACATGATCGTTCACCGAGACATCAAGGGTGAGCAGGCATAAGTTGTGGGGTCCCCAAGACTGGATCACTTAAGCATTCTGGATTTTCTGAAAAGTAGGACCCTAATTACTTCTTTGGGGGTTGGTGTAGATTGGTTGAGCACTTTGGGAAAATACTTGTCGGGTGCTGTGCAGATGTTGGCCATGGTGATGATCATTTCATGCTGTAGGGCTGAGCCAGTAGTGTGTTTCTGTTCGTGTCCAATTAATGGTAGAGTCTATCCTCCCCAGCAGCCCTGTGACCTGGGAAGGAGTGGAATAGGGTGGATGGTAGAATATGCCCAGAGGGTCCAGGGTTGCAGCCTCTGCCCTTTCTTGTCTTAGGAGCCAACATCCTCCGAGACTCTGCCGGGAATGTGAAGCTGGGGGACTTTGGGGCCAGCAAGCGCCTGCAGACCATCTGCATGTCAGGCACGGGCATGCGCTCAGTCACGGGCACACCGTACTGGATGAGCCCTGAGGTGATCAGCGGTGAGGGCTACGGAAGGAAGGCAGACGTGTGGTGAGTGCCAGGGACGTGCTGGGATGGCATATCCATGTCTGGGCTGTAGAGACTCCAACCTAGAAATAAGCTGTGAGGGCTCATTTGAAATGTCGTGGTGTGGTTGGAGGAAGAGGAGGCTTCCTCTTGGCAGCTGCGCTGGGAGGCAGGCTCTGCATGTGTGGGGGAGTCGGTGCCTGCAGCAGCCCATACAACAAATGCGTTGCGTTTTAACCCCAGATAGCACCTGTTTGTTACTGCTGGGAACTTAGGCCACGGAAAACATCCCTAATGTTTGCTAAATCCCTAAAAGAAGTAGACCCATTCTGAAGTCCTGGGTCAGTTGTTAAATAGTCGAAAGCTTCTTCCTTTATCCTAGTGTTGAGATGGCTTGCATTTGCTCTATCTCATTTCATGTCCATACTCTGAAAGGGCCTGGAGGTCGTGAGAGTGTCTCTTCCTCGCACAATGTTATTGTGGTGGGCTGAGTATGGCTCCCTGAAGGTGCCCATGTACTGACCCCATAACTTGTAAATATGTCCTTATGTGACAGAAGGGCCTTTGCCCAGAGTGGGTAGCAAGAGAGGTGACAGTGGAAGCAAGAAGCTAGAAGGGGCCATGATCCAAGGGGTGCTGGCCGCCTCTTCAAGCAGAGCCTTGACGCAGACACATTCAGTTCAGCCCATGGAGACTAGTTCTACTAGACTTCTGATCTCCAGAATAAATTTATGTATTTCTTTTTTTTTTTTTTTTTTAATTTTTTTTTTTTAATGTTTTTATTTATTTCTAGGAGAGAGAGAGACAGCGTGAGCAGGGGAGGGTCAGAGAGAGAGGGAGTCACAGACTGAAACAGGCTCCAGGCTCTGAGCTGGCAGTCAGCACAGAGCCCGACGCGGGGCTCGAACCCACGAACCGCGAGATCATGACCTAAGCGAAAGTCGGACGCTTAACCGACTAAGCCACCCAGGCGCCCCTAAATTTATGTATTTCTTATGCCACTGGACTCATAGTAATTTGTTCAACAGCAGTAGACTAATACGGTTATCTCAGAGCTCTTTCTGTCCATGCTAAGAGGTCTCTTCCCCAATCTCAAGACCTTTCTGGGTGGGTGTAGGTTGATGAAGCCCATGTAGATGAAGCCAGCAGTGCTTTGAGGCCTCTTCTGGCTTTGAGGACCCTCTACAGAGGTGTCAACCCTGAGCATGGCCCATCCTGCCTCAGGGTGTTCTGAGAAAGGCACCTCCTTTCACAGCAGTGGGCAGGTCAGGGAGCCTGGGGCTGACCAAGGGGTGACATGGGATTTTCTCTCCAGGAGCCTGGGCTGCACTGTGGTAGAGATGCTGACAGAGAAACCACCTTGGGCAGAATATGAAGCCATGGCCGCCATTTTCAAGATTGCCACCCAGCCCACCAATCCTCAGCTGCCCTCCCACATCTCTGAGCATGGCCGGGACTTCCTGAGGCGTATTTTTGTGGAGGCCCGCCAGAGACCTTCGGCTGAAGAGCTGCTCACACACCACTTTGCACAGCTCGTGTACTGAGCTCTTAAGGCATGCTGCGGCCCGCCGCCCCTGTTGCACAGGCAAGGGGCTGCTTTGGGGCTCAGCAAAGCTGCTGCTTCTCCCAGGCAAGGCTGTGGACCATGGAGCTCCAGTCCAAACAGCGTTTGTCTGTGCCCCTTCCACTGCTGGGGCTCAGAGCCAGGGTGGGTGGCTGCAGCCTCAAGGACTGGGAGCCCCCAGCCTGCTCCAGCATCCTAAGCTCAGTGTGGAGGGGAAGGGGCTAGGAACAGTGTGCAAAGCACTGAGGGCCTTACCCTCGGGGCTGTGTCCTGACACTGCAGTCGGCACCAGAGCCCCAAGGGTCTGGGGGCACAGGACAGACACAAGGGTCTGAATAGTGTTACTTTCATGCAGAGTGTTATTTTGTTTCTCCTCCCCATGTCTGGAGACCACCAGGGCATCTCTGGGCTGAATGAGCCCACTCAAGCCTGAGGTCAAGCCCAGCATCCCACAGCCAATGGAAGGCAGAGGTCCAGGCTGTGCTCTCCCCAGAGCCCCCAGGCCAGCTTTGCCAGTCCCTGTCCTTTACCAAAGATGATTGAAGCAAATGTTATGCTGCCTTATTCAGGGAAGGAGGAGCCCATCCTGCCTGCTCCCATGACCCTGCGCCCCCTCCCCACCCCCAGCAGGAGCCTGAGATGTGGAACTGCCCCCACTTTAGGGGGGAGACCCAGTTTTGTCAATGCAATTGTCTCTGTTTTACAAGTTGGAGTCACTCTTATGCTGTACCCAGTTTCTAAACTGGAGACTTTGCGTGCCCTTGGGTTCCGAGTATCCCTGTTGTGGGCTTGGGCCTTTGAGCTGGATTGGAAAGAGCTGAAGGTAATGACCTTTGTGTTCCTGACCTGGCACCTGTCTCCCCACTGGAGCAGAAAGGAAGATGGACAGCGTGGTGAGGGCATCTGACCCCGCTGGTCACTCTGAGCCCTGGGCAGGCTCTTCTGGATGGCCAGGGAAGTTGTATCGGGTTGTCTGTGAGTCGTGACCATTCTAGGCCAGAGTCCTCTCCTCCTGGTAGAAGGGAGAGCCCATATGATGTCACCGTGTCCCAAACTACCATCTCTGTTCCTCCTTGGCCAGCCTTGCCCATCCCCATGAGGTCTCAGCCTCTTTCCCTTCTTGGAGGAGGAATAGTAGCAGGGGTCGGGGAGCCAGTATCTCCAAGCAGCTTAGAGTTGGCCTTATTTACCTCAGCCTGGGCGCTGGTCCTTTCTTCCGGCCCCTCCCCTCCAAAATGTGCCTATTGCTAGAGCTCCTCCCTCCCAACACCCAGTTCCTTGGGAGTTGTCATTAAAAGAACAACAACAACAACAACAAAGCCAGTGCCCAGGGATGGGTCTCTCCAGGGAGCTGGGGATTAGTGCCAGGCAGTTCATTGCCAGCCATGCCCACTTCCCCACGGGCACCAGAACAAGCCAAAGCCTTCGTTGTATGTTGACGATGCACTTTTATGAATGTAGTTTCTATCGCTGTTTTTAGCCTTTTCACATCATGTAATGTGAGGCCTTGTACTTGTTAATTTATATCTCAGATCATATTTGATGGTTTTTATATATATCAATTCTAGATTGTTACAGGTGATGGACGCCTCGAGAGAGAGAAGAGAAAATGAAAGCAGCTGGTTTTGCGGGAATGTGTGTTGCACGGTGCCAGTTGGGCCTTTGCCCCTCTGTTTCCACCCTTTTCTATCAGGGGCCTGTCAGGCACCTCCAGCCCAGCCCCGTGAAGACAGTGAGCAGTGTGCTCCTGTCTCCACCTCGGCCCTTGCCCAGGGTGGGGACTGGCCCCTCATCTTGACCAAAGCTGCCAGGTGGCAGCTTGGCCTCTCTGCGACCCCATCATGATGGCTGCAGCACTCTTCTTGGGCCCACACCCCTGTGCCCAGTCCCTGTGCCCCAAGGGGAAGCAAAGCACGGTGCCCGCGCCGCAAGACGACTCCGTGTGTCCCACCCCCCAGGCTCTTACCTCACAGGGAATGGGTTTTAAAAGTGAATTTACAAACAAGCCAACAAACGCTGCACTCCAAAAAACAAAAGACCCTGACTTTTTTGTGCCAAAAACTGTGGACATGCTGGCTCAGCATCCTCAGGACCAAGCTGTTGCTTAATTTTAATTTATTGTCTTTATATTAATTAACCCAGATGACAAGTTATGGGCCTAGGACAGCCTGGGCCCAAAGATTCTGAAAGGCAGCCCCCTGGCAGCCCCAGGCTTGCTGTGGGAAGGGCCATGCTGCCATTTGCTCATCATTCCATGGGCTATGTCAGCCTTGGCCAGACCTTCACGGAGAGGTCAGGGCTAGGGACAGTCTGCACCCTGCCACCCTCCGGCCCCTCCCGGCCCCCTCACTCTGTGTCTGTGTCTGAATTGTGGATCGTGCAGAACAACCTGCAGCCATAGTTATTTGACTATATCTCGACCGAGGGCTTGCAGTGCAAAGCCAGGCCAGTGTCGCGCATTACTTACAATAAAAGGGATCATTTATACCCAAGGGGTCCTGTGGAAATGCTTTTGGCTGAGGAGTGGAGTAGGTGTTTGCCCGAGAGGAGCCAGCTATGATGTCCAACAACCAGCTTGTGTCTCTCAGCAGAAAACTTGACTCTAAGAGGGGTCTTAGGAGGGGATGACTTGGCTGGTACCACTGTTAGCTCAGAGGTGGCTCCCTTCTTCCCCGACTCCCAAGAGCTCTGCTGAGGGTGTTTCTATCACAGCTGATTATCAAGGTGGTACTACTGTCAGCCCCACCTGACCTAAGTGTCACCGGTGGCTGGGTTTCCAGGACCTTTGTGGCATCTAATAATCTTCCCACTGCAGGTACGTACTCCCTGGCACTATATCCTTGCAGGACGGGGTTCAGGCACCTCCAAGGAGCCACCTCTCTGGCAACACTCCCTGGGCCACCTACTGCTGATGCTTAGCTCAGAGCTGGGAGAGACCATCCTTGTCCCACCTGAAGCCTCCAGTGAAAAATTTGTGCCTGCTTTGCATGAGGCTGTCAGCTCTCATGCTGATGACCCAGGGCCACCTCTGCTGAGTGGTAGCTCTGCTGCTTCAAGGGCAGGGTCCACCCCAACACAGCACAGTGACCCATCTGACACCAGAGTGAGTCCCAGCTTCCTATTCTGTCCTATGGCCATGAGGTACTTAAGGAATTGTACGGGGTGGTGGCAGCAAATCCCCCAGGAGTCAGCCCTCTTCCTCCACCAGTTCATGTAGCCCAAGGACAGTGTGGGGGAAATCAGGACAGTTGGGTGTGGGACAGGACAACCCAGATTTCCTGCCTGTAATCTGCTGGGGGTGGGGGTGTCTCAGTTCCTCCAGGCTTACACTATTTGCCCTGTTGTAAACTGTTGTCCCTCAGAGAAGCAGACAAGCTGTTTCTTCTTGAACTACATGGGACAGTGATCATGGCTGCCCCACTCCCCAGAGCTTGAAAAAGCAAGGGGAAGATGACAGATGGGGAAGGACACAGCAAACCAGAAACCCATTTACAGCACTTGCTGAATCTGCTGAATCTCCACCAACCTTTGCTGATTTCCAGGGCACAGGGGGTCCAGGCAAGGACAAGAAGGGATCTGCCTTGCAATATATTGAAGTGCAGTGAGGCCAGGCTCCATCACCTACTGATGGCCTGACTCCTTGTTTTTTTTTGTCTTTTTTTAATAGGCTCCACACCCAATGTGGGGTTTGAACTCACAACTCTGAGATCAAGAGCCACATGTTCTACAAACTGAGCAAACTAGGCACCCAGGCCTGACCTCACTCTCTTAACCGGCATGAAGTTTCAGTTATAAAACTACTCTGGGTATGACAGCATGGAGACCTGGCTGTTGAAAAAGGAGCACCCCCTTTTTCTCTGGCTGGCTGGTATTTCCCTAACACCCATCGCCAGCCCCCTACCCCACTCCAATCAAGGCCAGGAGTGCTCTGGGTTGACCATGTCCCCTGTCACCTCTACATGACCAGTCTGTATCTTTCCTGCCACAAAGCCCCTCCCCCCCCGTCAGCCCACATAATACAGAGTCAGGATCTGTTAAAACATGTTTAAAACAGGGTTGATCACAACAGTCAGAACCGGCAGAAATAGGGGACAAGAGGAGGGGAGCATGGCTAATGGCCAGCCCCCACCCAGCCAGTCTCTGTGGCTCTCAGCCTGGCGGTGCTTTAGCTTCCGCTTCTTGTCTCCCGTGGTGCAAGATGGGTCCCCAGCCCCACTGGGCATGCCCTGCTTTGCCTATGGGGGGAGGGGGGAGGGCAGAGCTAATCAACCTCTCCCTCCCTTCCCCCCACAGGACCTTGGTGGGCATTCTGTAAAGCCCAGTGAGGACTCGCTGGCTCTCCTTCCTCCAGTCTCCATGGCTCAGGACCAGGCTAAGGGCAGAGGTAGATGGGGAGACATGGGGGCCACAGAGGACCCCAGGTGGCAGTGAGGGAGCTTGGGACCCTGAGGGGGCATGCTGACTCCTTGCTGGAGAAAAGGCACCTAGATAGGGAAGCTGGGCTTGGGGGCCTCCCAGGGGGCCATGGGGTGAGGTGGGGTAGGCTGAAAGAAGTAGGAAGCAGGGTGGTGAGCAAACCCCAATCCTGGTTCCCAAACCTCCCCCCCCCCCCAGGGATAATGAAAGAATCCTGGAGCTCTGCCCCCCCCAACCCTCTGCCTGAGCAAGATGGCCTTATCCCCCTCCCACCCTGCCCCCCAACCCAAGCCCAGGTCCAATCTCTTTCCTGCCCTTCCCACTGCCCCATTCCAGGCCCTCTTCTACGGAGGGGCTGGATGGCAGAGGGGCCTCAGGCCGTCTTGGTGCCGGCGTCCACCTCCTTGTGGGCCCAAAGCTCCTTGTGCTGCTTCCGGCCAAAGCCCTCATCATAGTTGCCTTTGCTTTTAAACAGCTGCTGAAAGTGGGGCTTGCAGTAAAACTCCCCGTGCAGTGCTGCGTAGCTGCCCAGGCTGCAGAAGCAGAACAACTGTGGTCAGGTCAGGTGAGGGCTGGCGGGCGAGGGCAGGGGCAGGGCAAGGGCGCACCTCAGCTTGGTGTGACAGTGCTTGCAACAGAAGCAAGAGTTGTGGAAAATGAGCTTGTCCGCCACCAGCCGCTCCATGGGGTACACGGTCTTCTGGCAGGCGGCACAGCTCTCCTTCACCTGGGCCCGAAGGCTGAAGGACTGTCCCGGGGAGAGAGTCAGGAGGGGGCCTGACCCATGCCCATCCCCTTCTCCCCCCAACACCCCGTTATCAGGGCCCTACCTTGGAGCGCTGGACAGTGCTGCTGCCACCGCTGCCTTTGGCTTCCTAAGGGAGAGGGCCAGTCAGGGTCAGGCCAGATGAGGGATGCCCCAGATCATTGCTGGGGTCACTGGCCCAGATCCCAGGGGCATGGTGGAGGGGTGAGCGGGGCAAAGGGTGGCAGGCGAACCCGCTGCCCCTCACCCCTTCACCCCCAGGCCAGACGCCTGAGGCGTCGGACGGGCTCCCACCCCGCTGATCACCTACATGAGAAGGGGTGGCCTGGGCGGCTCCTGCAGCCTGGTACATGGCTCGGTGGAGGTGTTGGAGGCCCCAGGTGGAGACGCGGCACCCGCTGGGTTCTGCAAGGGGAAGTCGGTGGGTCGGGCCCCACAAGCCCTTCCCCAGCCTGCAGGGTGGGGTGGAAGTGTTTACAGGCAGGGGGCTGGGGGGCTGCGGTTGGGACTTTCCCTAAGTCATTTCCTGTTGCTCTGGGTCTTGCCACTTCCGCCCCTCACCCACCTCCCCCTTCGCCCGCCCGCCCCCCAGGCTGCTCCCCAGAGGGGTAGGGGTCCCTGAGCTTAACCATGTGTGGAGAGAAGAACGGAGGTAGCCGGGAGCGGCCCGGGGAGGGGGCACCGCGCAGCCACCGTGAGCCGCCCGGGACCCCGTTTGGCTGAGGGGAGGTCAGGGGCGGGCGGGGCTTCGGTGAGAATCCGCTGGCCCCGCCTGACCCCGGCCCGACGCTGCCGAGGCCTCGGGCGCCCACGGCTCAGCCGGCGCAGCTCCTGGACAGCGCTCCCTGGCCGTGCAGCCCGCCCCGCCCGCCCCGCCGCCCGCGCGTCCCGCTTCTCGGCCCCGGGGCCCGTGAGGACGGGACTCCAGACCCTGGACCCCCTCGGGCCCCGCCAGGGGGCTTCGGCCCCGTCCCCACTTGGAAACCCGCCCGGGAGGACGGCCGCTGATCCCGGGGCCCCGGCCGAAAGCGCCGAGCTTAGGCGCTGGGCGTCGGGATCCCCGCGGGCGGCGGCCCTCGCGCCCGCACCCCCACCTCGGCGCCCGGGTTTGTGAGGCGGATGCAGGCCCCCTCCCCGGCCCGCCCGCGGGTCTCACCGGGGCCCCGGCCTGGGTTGCGGGGCGGGGGTCGGTCTCCGGGGGGCGCCTCTGGTGCGAGGAGGGCGCGGGCGCGAGCTGCCGCCGCTGCCAGTGGTCCCCGAGCGGCCGCCGCCGCCACCGCCTTATCGCGGCACCGCCCCCGCCGGCCCCCGCCCCGCGCCCGCCCATTGGCTCCGCCGAGCCCGGAGCCGCCTCCGGGGCCCCGGCGCCGCCGCCGACCCCCTCGGCGCTTTGTCTTTCCCTCGCTCACCGTCCCCTGCCTTTGTCTGCCCCCCGCCCGGACCCCGCGCTCCCGACACTCGCACCATCCCCGCGGGCCCCCCGCTCGCGCGCCGCTCAGTCTGTCGACCCGCCCCCGACCGAGGCCGGGACTGGAGCCGAAGGGTAACGCACGCCTCCGGGCACCTTCGAGTTGAGGTTGAGACGCCGGGGGGCCCGGGACAAATAGTGCTCCCGGCGACGCCCCTGCGGCGGAAAAGGATAACCGGGGTGCCCCTGGGCCTTAAGGTGCCTCAGTTTCCCCTGATTGGCCCTCGGGCCCACCTGGCTCTCCGTGGGCGCTGCGACTTGACAGACCCCGCGGGAGCGGCCGGGTCGCGGAGTCCTCCCGCCGCCAGGGGCCGCCCCTTGAAGGTGGCAGCGGCGGCCGGCACGCGGTCCAGCCACGCGAGGCCGCAAGGCCCAGTGCCCCCGTGTCCTGTCACCTTGGGCCGTGGGCTCACCTTGCACTAGTCTGTAAAAGCGGTCCAGCGGACCACCCCCACCCCCCAGCGCCTTCTCGTGCAACCCCATAGACAAAGGACCTGGGATCACTGAAGGCGGCAGCCCTCCGTGGCTCACCATCCTAAAGGGTTTGTGGCCGGTTTTTGTGGCATTAGTCACCCCTGGTTCCTGCGGGCGGGCACTATTGCCTGCGAGAAGTCGGGGGCACCTCCCCCCCTTTCAGGGAAAGAAATTTACATCCTTCGAACAAGGAAACGTTGGTGTCCCCTGACCTCATTTAACACAAGGGAGCGAAGCCAGGCCTCCAGCCCCTCTGGCTCAGCCAGCTGCCATGGCTCCAGCACCCAGCATAGGGCCGAGGCCCCCAGGAGCCAGGTGCTGGGCACCTGGTCAGGGTGGAGCCTCAGCTGTGCTGCACACTTG